AGTGAGTTTATGTGTAGGAATGATTCGTCTACTGACCATCTGCCTCCTGTGGATATGGAGCCGCAGCGTGCGCCCCAGCCATGTAAGCTTGCATCCGACTCGATTATCATATCTGGAGTGGAACCGAAGATTGCCCGTCCATTCCATGCTTCCATGTGGGTCAGCCACCAGTCCAGTTCCTCCCTGGATTCTTCGTCCAGCGTGATGTTGGATTCGTACGACTGACCCTTCCTTAGGCAGGAAGCCTTTAGGCGTTGTAACGCCCGATAGTGTAGCGGTCCCGGGAAGATCGCCTGTATAGAGGATGCTAGTAAGCCGATTACCCGAGCCAGTTGTCTTAGAGAAATGTCCGAACGGTTCATTATCCTCCTGATCTCCTTCTTGATGTTGGACATCTTTTCTGAAGGGAGGCACAGGATTTGTTGTACCGAATCGACTCTGAATCCTAGGAATTCCATCTGTTGAGAAGGTTGTAGCACCGATTTCTCCCAGTTCACTAGAAAACCGAGGTTCTGCAGGAGGTGAAGGGTCCACGACAGGTGTGACAGCAGAAGGGATCGTGTCCCAGACAGTATGAGGATATCGTCCAGATAGATAATGAGGCGAATCTCGTGTAATCTGAGAAATGCTACCACTGGTTTCAGCACTTTCGTAAAGCACCAGGGAGCGGAGGAGAGCCCGAAAGGGAGGCAACAGAAGCGCCATTTCTTTGTGCCCCACCGGAACTGTAGGAGATTCCTGTGTGTTGGTGCTATCGGGATCGTGAGATATGCATCTTGCAGATCGAGTTTCACCATCCAGTCTCCTGGGAGAAGGAGGTCTCGGAGGCAGTGTATGCCCTCCATTTTGAAATGCCGATATTGTATGAAGGCATTGAGGGGTCTCAGGTTGATAACTGGGCGGACACCCCCGCCTTTCTTCGGTACCAAGAACAGGTTGCTTATAAAACCTGGGGTATCTAGAGGGATTTCCTCTATGGCATTTTTGTTGTACAAGGTTTCTATCTCCGTGGAGATGAGGTCGTAGTGAGACTGAGGCATGTGTGGCACACGCGGGAGGGAAACCTGAAAGGGAAGACCCGTCAATTCTAGTTGGTAACCCTCTACGGTCTGCAGTACCCAACTGTCGGACGTGATAGTGGCCCACGTTTGAGAAAACAAAGCCAGTCTGCCCCCCACATTTATATGGGAAAAATGGGGAAAAATCGTACTCACCATAAGGGCGTTTTCCTGGGGTTGTTCCTCTGCCGCCACGGGCATTCCAAGATCTTCCTCGAGAAGGGAAGAACGGGGTGTAGGAACGTTCCTGGGTCTGTCTCTGTGTGTTGGAGGAGCCTCTGCCCGGTCTGGAGAAACCCCGGGGGTTGCGGCCGGATAGACGGCTCCTACCTCTACCGGCCCCACCGAAAACCTTTTGGTGGAATACCCTCTTCATGGATGATTGGGCTTTATCCAGCGCCGTGAATGTTTTGACATAGGAGCCCAGGTCTTTGACGAAGGATTCGCCAAACAAGAGACCCTTAGCCGCGGCCCCTGGTTCAGAGGAGGCCATACTAGCCAGTTTGGGTTCGATTTTCAGCAGGATGGCCTTCCTGCGTTCTGTTGACATGGCAGTATTGGCATTGCCGATCATGCAGACCAAGCGTTGGAGCCATCCAAACGCTACTTCAAAGTCTACTGGAGCCTCACCCGACTGAGCTGCTTCCAGCAGTTCGTATAATTTAGTGACAGGACCCAGAGTGTCTAGGAACTTGTCCTGACAGTTACGGAGGGAGTAGTCCAGTCCCCTCTTGGCCTTCCAGCCTGTTTTGGCTAGAAACTGGGCTATCTGAGGGTCCACTTCTGGGGTTTTTGCCACAGCATCAGGGATTATGGGTCGGGGGCACTCCGCTATCAATTTATTACGGCTCTCTTGAGAAAGGGACTTACGTACCCTGAGGGCTAGGTATCGGGCGATGTGTTCAGATGGTTCCCACTCGGCAGAGCGTGGGTGTCTTAAGTTGTCAGGGTCGAATAGCGTGACCTCTTTAGGGTCACGGGCTGCTTCTGCCTCGGGCGTCCCTGCATGAGCAGTGGTACGCGTTGCCGTCAAGGGGGAACTGCTTTCCCTGGAGGCTTTCACCCTCTGAGAGCTCGTCCTCGTACGGGTCAGAGTACGGGGCGTCAGACCCCTCATCCCTCTCCTCGTCTGAGTCAGACAGTATGTCATGGGCTCTAGCCCTTTTCCAGTCTCTGGTAGCCGTAGCTCGCCCAGAAGCTCTATTGCGCGGTTGTTGCGCGCCATCATGGACAGCCTGAGGCATGTCAGTCAGAGCAGGGTCAACCTGCATGGGGGGGGGGTCTTGTGAATGTCTGCGTTTGGTTAACGCTTTGTGGCCTGGCAGCCTCCCTTCAGGAGGGGTATGGGTCAAGGCAGGGGTAGAGTGAGGTTGTACCTGTTTAAGCGCTTGCGTGATGGAGTCCGAGATGGTAGAGGACATCGCGCCCATGGCTGAAGATATGGCCTTGGAAATAGATTTGGACATGGTGGTGTCCAGAAGGGATTGGAATTCCTCAGAGCCCATGAGCCCAGGGTCGAGCTGAGGATCAGGATCAGTAGTGGCCATAGAGGGGCTATGTTTGCCAGGGCATTTGTCACCAGATTGCATGGTAAGTAAATAGAGTGCAAGTGAGAAAATAACAAATAGAAAATAGAGTGAAAATGCAGAGTACTAGGATTGATTAACCCAGGTACAGGATGGAAAAGTACAGGGAGATGGAAGGTTAATACCAGGAATATATATGCAGAGAAAAATCAAACTGTACTAGTATGAGGGGTTGCCGGAACGAAATCCGGTGAGGGAGGGGTCAAACGGCACGAAAAAACGAGTAGAGAATATGGCCGCCGCCTAAACCGGCGACCAGAAACCAAGAAAATGGCCGCCGCGAGCTACCGCGCATGCGCGGAGCCCGCGAGCGGCGGGAAACTAAGGGAAAGTGAATCGCCGCGCGGACGAAAGTAGGTCCGGCCGGCGGTGATGCAAATAGTGCCGGGAAATGCCGCGGGTTTCCCGATGGGTCCCCCTGGCGAAATAACCGGCAGAGTGTGACCGGGGAGGGAGCCCCAACCGGAGGGAGGGGGCTGGACGAGGGAAATTGTATGAATACTTAGTTAACAGGGAGGGACCGGCCACAGCAGAATAAACACAGTAGAATAAACACAGGCAGTGTAAGAAAAATAAGTGGGAAAAACAGAGAAAAAGGAGGGATAAACTGTCTAAGGAGTATCCCCACAGTAATACCACAAAGATATAAATCTAATAGCTATAAATCTCTGAAACATCCCACAGTGTACACATACAAATGAAATTATGAGAGTGTACTTATCTTCTGAGGGAGCAGCGAAGAAAGAGGAAGAAGCATGGAGTGCTACACCTTATATACTAAGGGGGTGGATACCTATGAGCACTGTTCCATATGCTAATGTTATTGTTATTTTTTTCTCTCATTTGCATATATCTCTCTTCGCTGCTGAGGGAGAATTAAAGAAAGAGAAGCATAATAGGAGCCTCCGTGTCTTTAATAAAATCGCATTGAGCATGCAGAACGTCCATAGGAAAGCATTGAGAAATGCTTTCCTATGGGTGTTTTTATAATTTTTTTTTGTCAATCTTTCTTTTATTGAGGCAAGCATTAAATAGGGTACAGAATAAAGAAGAGGGGGTGTACGGTATTTGTACAGGATGGGAACATGCTAACACATTTTAACATCTCCTATGAGTGATTGCCTCATTTTTTATTAACTGAGCATGCCAGAGAGTTAATAACAGGTATAGCGCAATAGAAGTGAAAGTCACTAGTCAAAAGCTATGTATAATGTCTTTAAACATGAGTAACTCGTAGGCTAGTCAGCCAGTTTATCAGGCAGTTGCACATTATTCTAGCTAAGCAGAACCATTATCGCAAATAGAGAAATGCTGTCCTATGGGCGTTTTTAATGCACGCGCGGCTCTGGCTGAGCATGCGCATTCGGCTCCACTCGGGAGCCAACGTCGGAGGGGGAGGAGAGGTCACCAGCGCTGAGGGAGCCCGACGCTGGATAAATGTAAGTAACTGAAAGGGTTTTAACCCCTTCAGCCCAGCGGGAGGGGGGCCCTGAGGGTGGGGGAACCCTAAGGATTATATAGTGTCAGGAAAACGAGTTTGTTCCTGACACTATAGCGATCCTTTAAAGGGACACTATAGTCACCCAGACCACTTCAGCTCAATGTCACAGTGTTTGTGACTAAGTGGCTACTAAAAAAGACTAAACATACCCCACTTTCAATACCTTGGGTTGTCTACTTTTTCAAATGGTATGCCATTATGGGGGTAATTCTCATTCCTGGTCTACCACACCGTCTCAAAGGTAACATTACTAATCTGGCAAATTTCAATTTGAAAATGGAACGTTCTATATTTGACCCTGTAACTTTCCAAAACACCATAAAACCTGTTAATGGGGGGTACTGTTGTACTCGTGAGACATCGCTGATTACAAATATGTGCATTTTTTTGCAGTAAAACCTAACAGTATTATGACATTCACAGCAAAAATGTCAGACGGAAATACAAATTTAAAAAAAAATCTTATTTTCTAAAAGTTTTTACATTTTATTCATAATAAATTATGTTCCATATATGAATAGTTAATGATAAATTAAAGCCCTGTTTCTCCTGAACAAAATGATATATAACAAGTGTGGGTGCATTTAATGTGACAGCGGTGAATTATGGTTGAACAGACATATAGCGCAAATTCCAGTTTTTGTATACGTTTTGTTTTGATCAGAACGTGCACTACTGACTCCGTCCTGAAGGGGTTAATAATAATAATAATAATAATTAATAACAACAATAATAATAATAATTGCAGAGAGCAGTGGGGGAGCTGCCTGTCTGTGGCTGGCTGGCAGTGAAGGGGTTAATTCTAGGGGGAGGAGGTGCTGGTAGGCAGGGCTTTTCCCATCATGCACTGGGCGGGGGTAGTGTGATCAGCTGATCTGTGATTCCCTGATGTAGTTGCTCGGAGGGCTCTGCCAGTCTCTGCTCACACTCCACTCACAGCCGCTGCCATGCAGGTAAGTTAACCCCATCACTGCCGGGGGGGGCACACACACAAACACACTTACTGACTCATCTCCATGGTAACCAGACCTGGACACCCAGGGGTTAACTTTCCTTGTGATTAACCCCTTACTGTCATACTGCAGGTGGGGATTAACCCTCTCCTCGCCGAGGAGACAGAGCCTGAATTATTCACTAAACTGCGAATTGAATACGAATGGAGAAATCCAGGGTGAACTAGAAACAGGAACTGAACTGGAAAACTTCCCCCAACTTTTCACAGTCCGGTTATTGTAACCTGGATTTTGCCATTTGGATGGAATTCGCTGCAATTCGGAGTTTAGTAAATAACCTTTTGAAACAGTTAGTGATATGTGATCCCATCCCCCCCACATGTTATAAAGCTACTGATCCCATGACTGGCCTCTTCACTGGGAGATAGTGATTAACCCCCTTCCCTGACTAGGAGCTGGACTCTGTGATTAACCCCCTTCCCTGTCTAGGAGCTGGACTCTGTGATTAACCCCCTTCCCTGTCTAGGAGCTGGACTCTGTGATTAACCCCCTTCCCTGCCTAGGAGCTGGACTCTGTGATTAACCCCTTCCCTGCCTAGGAGCTGGACTCTGTGATTAACCCCCTTCCCTGTCTAGGAGCTGGACTCTGTGATTAACCCCCTTCCCTGCCTAGGGGCTGGACTCTGTGATTAACCCCCTTCCCTGCCTAGGGGCTGGACTCTGTGATTAACCCCCTTCCCTGCCTAGGAGCTGGACTCTGTGATTAACCCCTTCCCTGCCTAGGGGCTGGACTCTGTGATTAACCCCCTTCCCTGCCTAGGGGCTGGACTCTGTGATTAACCCCCTTCCCTGCCTAGGGGCTGGACTCTGTGATTAACCCCCTTCCCTGCCTAGGGGCTGGACTCTGTGATTAACCCTTCCCTGCCTAGGGGCTGGACTCTGTGATTAACCCCTTCCCTTTGGACTAGGCCTAGGGGCTGGACTCTGTGATTAACCCCTTCCTGCCTAGGAGCTGGACTCTGATTAACCCCTTCCCTGCCTAGGGGCTGGACTCTGTGATTAACCCTTCCCTGCCTGGGGGCTGGACTCTGTGATTAACCCCCTTCCCTGACTAGGGGCTGGACTCTGTGATTAACCCCCTTCCCTGACTAGGGGCTGGACTCTGTGATTAACCACCTTCCCTGACTAGGGGCTGGACTCTGTGATTAACCCCCTTCCCTGACTAGGGGCTGGACTCTGTGATTAACCCCCTTCCCTGCCTAGGGGCTGGACTCTGTGATTAACCCCCTTCCCTGCCTAGGAGCTGGACTCTGATTAACCCCTTCCCTGCCTAGGAGCTGGACTCTCTGATTAACCCCTTCCCTGCCTAGAAGCTGGACTCTCTGATTAACCCCATTCCTGCCTAGGAGCTGGACTCTCTGATTAACCCCTTCCCTGCCTAGGGGACCCCCTTCCCTGCCTAGGAGCTGGACTCTGATTAACCCCTTCCCTGCCTAGGAGCTGGACTCTCTGATTAACCCCTTCCCTGCCTAGAAGCTGGACTCTCTGATTAACCCCATTCCTGCCTAGGAGCTGGACTCTCTGATTAACCCCTTCCCTGCCTAGGGGACCCCCTTCCCTGCCTAGGAGCTGGACTCTGTGATTAACCCCCTTCCCTGCCTAGGAGCTGGACTCTGTGATTAACCCCCTTCCCTGCCTAGGGGCTGGACTCTGTGATTAACCACCTTCCCTGACTAGGGGCTGGACTCTGTGATTAACCCCCTTCCCTGACTAGGGGCTGGACTCTGTGATTAACCCCCTTCCCTGACTAGGGGCTGGACTCTGTGATTAACCCCCTTCCCTGACTAGGGGCTGGACTCTGTGATTAACCCCCTTCCCTGCCTAGGGGCTGGACACACTAATTAACCCTTTTGCTGCCATGGAGCTTAAACCCAGGAATTGATGTGCAGTCTTTCATAGTAATTAACCTCTTTTCTGTCATGTTAACTCCTTCTCTGAGAGTTGTAACACAGTGATTAACCCTTTCCTGGGACAGCTGTAACACATGACTACCTCCTTCTCCAAGAGTGAAGTAGAACTCCCCTTCTTTCTGACAGCTGTAAAATTATTAGCCCTTTTGTCTCTGAGCAAAAAAGCAGGAAATTATTTATTAACCCAGTCTGTGAGATAGAACCTTATAACAATTCTTCACCTCAGGTGTAAAAGTCATAACACTTTGCTCAACCTCATGGTATTCAGACAGTTAACCACTACATAAATCAATTTGAAACTTATTGATTCCATCTCCTTGTTCATAGCCTAGTTATAAAGCTAACGTAACCCTTTAACTGCCAAGACCAGACTAATAGCCTGCTTCTTGATGATCATAGGCAGTCATTGTCTTATTGACCTGAGATATTTTTATAACGTCTCTTCCTACAGATGTATTTCATATTTTCCAATAATGTGACGCTGCTGTTTGATTTCTGGACTGTTCACACGCTGGCAGGTAGGTGATGTTCACACTCTACACAGGATTGCATATTATTTATTTACTAAGAGGAGAAATCTCTGGATTTAAAGGTTAATTTAAAATTTAAGGCCAATCTAGCCGAACTGGAATCATTGTCTAGGCCAGCTATGCTTCCAGTTTGGCTACTTTGGCCTTAAATTTGAAATTCCCTTTTTATTCACTTTGCATCCACACCAATCCTTACTTTAGTGACGAACCCGGTTAGTCTCCAATAACTTCAAGTTTCTAGTTCTGACCTATGGATGTACAGACTTTCTTATATTTGCCGGTTAGTCTTCACTAGAAATCTAAGTGACAGTAGGAACTGCAGAAATATAAGATGTGGGCTGATGGGCAGGGAGCTCTGTTAAAAGGAAGTGATTGCTGAGATGATTAGTGAATCTGTCAGAGATTGGGTGGAGTAGTGTCTATAGAGATAGTTTAAAGCTATGGAATTGTAAGGAATAGTCTGACAGAGCAAGTGAAAGTATTACAGAGGACAGGTGTAATATGGGAGACAGCCCGCAATATACAGGATTATTTACTAACATGAGAATTGAACTTGAAGGCCAGAGTAGCTAAATATTAGAGATTTTTTTGCTTTGAATTCTCACCTTCGTAAATAACTTGGTGCATAAAGGTGTACTTGGCATAGTGGCTTTGCATTGCGGTAGAGGGGCAGTACAAACAGGTGCAGTATTTATACAGAGATAGCTGTGTACTTTGTTACCTGGTTACCTTACAGTAGTTTTATGATGTTAATACAGTGTAAAAACGTATGTTTTTCCTGACGTATTTTGGCAGTACGTATGGGTTGTGCTTCCTAATTGGGACAAGCATCTGCAAGATAGGTGATTAAGAAAAGTTCCTCCCCTTTACTTTATAAAGGGCTTCCTCAGCAAGCACACCTCAGTTCTTCCTTGTCCCAGCACGGGACGGATCAAGCGTCTGTTGGAGGTGAGGCACACAGGTTGCTGTCTAGGGGAGGAAGCCCGATATCTGCCTGGGTGGTAGGCTGAGCGGCATGGTTCCATCCACGGAGGTTCCAGAGCCCTTTCTGTTTTATTTATGCGCTGAGTATAGGCGGGCCGGGGAACGCCTTCATTATGTTGCAGGCCATGCGCCTGCACACAGTGGTGGAACGCACGCCTGTGTGGTGTTGCATTCCACCGAAGTTCCAGGTGCGCTATTGCACATGCATAAACCGGAACTGCCGGGAAACTGCTGAGTGCGGATTGCTGTACTGTACCCTGTGGCAGCAGGAAGCTTGTCAGAAGGGTTCCCCATGTCACCAATCCCCCACACAGCTCAGAGGTTTTCGAGGTAAGATTAGCTGATCTTTGCCTTGAAAATCTGTTCTGATTAAGATTGCAAGTTATGGATGGAATTGTTTTGCAGAAAATGGACTGTATGTGCAAGATGGACGGTTTGTACACTGTGGAATGCCTCTGCTATACTCCGCTTTTGCTTATTGTATCTGTGCTACTCACCTTAAAGGACCACCATAGGCACCCAGACCACTTCAGCTTAATGAAGTCGTCTGGGTGCCAGGTCCAGCTAGGGTTAACCCTTTTTTCTATAAACATAGCAGTTTCAGAGAAATTGCTATGTTTATAATAGGGTTAATCCAGCCTCTAGTGGCTGTCTCATTGACAGCCGCTAGAGGTGCTTGCGTGCTTCTCACTGTGAAAATCACAGTGAGAAGATGCCAGCATCCATAGGAAAGCATTGTGAATGCTTTCCTATAAGACTGGCTGAATGCACGCGCGGCTCTTGCCGCGCATTCAGCCAAGGAGGAGGAGGAGAGTCCCCCACCCGGCGCTGGAGAAAGAGGTAAGTTTAACCCCTTCCACCCCCTAGAGCCCGGTGGGAGGGGGACCCTGAGGGTGGGGGCACTATAGTGCCAGGAAAATGGGGGTTTTCCTGGCACTATAGTGGTCCTTTTAACCTCTTAAGGACACATGACATGTCATGATTCCCTTTTATTCCAGAAGTGTGGTCTTTAAGGGGTTAATATGGTTCTGGGGTTTATAAATATAACCAAGGTGCTGCAATTTCTTGCGTAAAATTAAACAGTGATTATTCCTATCTTTAAATTCTTATAGAGAATCAAATAGTGTATCAGCTGCTCTGCTTCTGGTTAGGAATGAATCGGTCATGGGGCAGGATAAATCTGCTAAACTTTGTGTTATCTGTTCCTCAAACCCAATGTCTTTCCTACGTGCAGAAATGGGAACACTCTGTGTAACGAGTCTTTCTTGCCCAACATTTAATATGATTACCATCAAATGCGTGAATGTTACACCGCCAGGTACACTGAGAATCCATACAATTCTGCAGAAGTAGCTGCTTTAAAAACCCTGTCGTTAACCTCAGAGGCTGAAGCTTCTTGCAGACTGCTGGGTTTCGGTATGGGTCTTTGCTGGCAGGTGCAGCGGTGTCCAAAACGTATAACTTTGTTTACTATCGTTAATGGAGGTTATTTAAGTCTCCTGATAAGCAGCTTGTCAGTTTCCTGTTCTGTTTGTGATTGTCACATATTTTTCATGGATTTGACTAATAAAATTTGACAATGACTTTCGAGATCATGGGTTGATCTGCTGTTTCCCTTATATCCTGGTGGCTTAAGCTTGGACGGCAGATCAGCGTCCTATTCGGTCCCCTGTTTACTCCCATTAGGGAAATGGGTATCTTTTGTCGAAAGAGGAAAAAAGCTCTGCCTCAAGACAACTAGAACTAGGTCTGACATTGGTAGGCGTTCTGGACGCCGAGAAGTTTGGAGGCGTAATCCTGCATTTCTATACGAAGTGTGGATAGCTCAGTGGGTTTAGACCTTATTCAACCCTTGGGGTTCACAGGTTTGTTTCCCCTGCAGGGTTGACTCAGCCCTTCATCCCTTTGAGGTAGATGACTGGAGTACCATTCAATGGAGTCACTTAACATTCCCAGGATGCATTTGGGAAACCGTATTTATCTTAATGTCTCTTGCCTGGCTTTTAAGTTGAACCTACTTGCAATCACTGGTTTCTTGATCTGGTTAAAGAGGGCACCGCTTGCTCTTTTCAAATCTGCCCAATTTATAATCTTCCGAACATCTGATACTCTATTTACAGAAACAGTGTTCCTGTTGGATTCAAGGAGTTTGAGGTATGGTTCTGTGAACCACGAAGTTTGTTGGGTTGCTCAGGAATCTCCCGGTGATCAAACTCTGATCATTCTTTTAAACCGGTTATGAATTTTTAAATTAATTGGTTCCGCTCCTGAGGTTCAGAATTGAAACTTCTGCTTCTGTAACTCTGATTCTGCAGAAAGGAATTTCATGGTATATATAGTTCACAGAGCTATATTCCCACATATCCCTATTGCGGTCCCTCAAGAGGTTTTCTGAAAATACGCCATAAAACGCTCCCATAACAGTAATCCAAATTGTTAATTTAAAATGCAGTCCAGACATGGACCTCTTGCTCACGGTGCATAGAGGGATATTGCCTATACCACACTGATGATACCTTACAAGGTTGAAATGATCATCTCGGGTTGCCGTATCTCTCGTGCAGAGGGAACTTGCTGGCGTTTCGGATTTGGACTGCCCGTACAGATGGGACCAGTCTGATATGCTTCAGATATGTTCTCTCTGTAATGGCACAAGTTGAGCTAAAACCAGCTCGAGATCTGAGTGGGGACCCACTGAAGGGCAGGCTAATTGAGCTGTTGTCCGCTCTCCCCTCTCTTGCTACTTGGTTTTTCTCTCCAATAGCAGCATATTTTAGGGAATGAGGCATTCCCTACCTGGGAGTTTAGCTACTTATTGCTAATAGGGAAGTTTGCCCTTTAAGTATGTTCTGGTAGCTAGCAGAGCGCTACAACAACACGGTTTAATACAGAGACTAGAAAGTATTTTTTTTCTTCTCCAGGAAACATTGGTTTTTTTTGAGGTTCATGTTAATCTTAAAACGTTACCTCTGCACTCATAAAGGTAAGGTCCAATTACTAATAAAGTGAAATTTCCTCCATAAGGACAGGAGAGATTGCTGGGATGTCTGACATCTTCAATTCCTGCGGTTTACTGGGCAAAATCTGGATTTGGCTGCTACAGTGGAAAATTATCTCCTCTGGGTCAAAGTGTGGAAATCTTGGATTTCTGTCTCCTAGACTCTCTTTCTGCCTATAGAAGGAGTGATTTTTTCACCACAGAATGCATCTAACACAGGCTGGGTCACTCGTCTAAATTCTTTAATGTGCCAGCGTTCTTGGTCCTAAGAAACATAGTCCACTAATTTCAGAACTCTTAAGGCAGTTCTTCACTCCCCTCACCAATTCAGATCTTGGTTGATTGAGGGACCTATTACAGTGTGATCAGACCACAACACTGTTTCCCTCACGTCAACAGACAGGGCCGTGCCAGAGGCAAGGTCTGTTTCAGCTATGTACCAAAACGGTGTAGTGGGCTCTCTCCATTCCACTCATGATGTGTCGACAATGTCATCACCTACAACCTCAGCACAAGAAATTGTGATCAAGAGTAAGGGTCTATAGATCCGATCATGTTCACAGTCTACAGAGATATTTGGAGCCCGGATAGACATTATGGCAAAGAGGGAGAACCTGAAGATTCTCTGGTTTGCCTCTCTGTACAGGACAGATGGTTCACGTTAAATAGTTTCTCTATCTAAGGGTATTTCTCCACGATTACAATTTTTTTTTTTTTTCTCCTATAGTCTGTCCCCAAGATTTCTTCAAAGAGGTAACGGACAGGGCAGTGGTTTTGTCAATCTTTCTTTACTGGCCAAACACGAACCAGTTTTCGGCCTTGGTGGAGATGACTTTCAAGTTTGGGGATCTCAAACACTTTTGGAAGACCTGGATATCCTACTGGAAGTGTTGAATAGGTATCTAAAATTCTCAAATCTGGTATATATCCCATTGATTTCTGGATAGAATTAGAGTATTTTTCCTAATCTGTGAGTGGGCTGTCTGCTGCAGTTTTTTGTTTGTATAGTAGATACAGGAATTTTAGAGGGGCACTCTAAGTACCATAACAACTTAATTTCAACAAAATTTTAATCATGCCAGGAGGTCCTAGCCCCTTCGTACCTTAAGGGGTTAAACTGTTTATGAATGGTTTAAATGTAAGCATACAAAGATGGTGTTTTACATATATAATAATATATATTATTGTTATTATCGCTATTTATATAGCGCCAACAGATTCCGTTGTGCTTTACAATATTATTAGAGGGGAGATTTAACTATAAATAGGACAATTACAAGAATACTTACAGAAACGATAGGTTGAAGAGGGCCCTGCTCAAACGAGCTTAGTCTATAGGAGGTGGGGTATAAAACACATTCGGACAGGAAATAGCAGTCAGATAAGGTGGGAGTTAAGCAGAGCTGGAGGAGAGAGTAGAGTGCTGCCGTTTAGGAGAGAGCAAGAGACAGGTATGTGAGGTAGAGGACAGTCTTGAAGGCCATAGGCTTTCATAAAGAAATGGGTTTTAAGGCACTTCTTAAATGATTGAAGACTAGGGGAGAGTCTGGCGGTAAGCAAGCTATTCCATAGAAAGGGAGCCGCCCGCGAGAAGTCCTGCAAGCGTGAGTTGGCCATACGGGTGCGAGCAGTGGACAGAAGAAGGTCAGGGACAGAGCGGAGAGACCGAGAAGGGGCATACATCTGGATCTGTCAGTGCTTTTATAGGTGTGGGTTAGCACTTTGAATTCACTCCTATAGTATACAGGAAGCCAATGTAAGGACTGACAGAGGAGTGAGGTGTGAGAGGACCAACTTGAGAGGAAAATCAGTCTGGCGGCAGCATTCATTACAGACTGTAGCGGGGCAATACGGCTATTGGGAAGACTTATTAGGAGAGAGTTGCAATAGTCCATGCGAGCGATTACTAGAGCATGGACAAGCTCTTTAATAACATCTTGTGTAAGAAAGGGGCGGATGTGGGCAATGTTTTTAAGGTGGAATTGGCATGATTTGACAACAGACCGGATGTGCGGCTCAAAGGTGAGGCCAGAATCAAAAGTAACACCAAGACAATGTGCTTGTAAGGATGGGCTGATATGGGTACCACCAATCTGAAGGGAGAGCGAGAGAGGAGGATTGATATTAGGAGGAGTAAAGATAAGAAGTTCTGTTTTGGAATGCTTCAGTTTCAGAAAGCGAGTGGACATCCAATCAGAGATAGAAGAACGGCAAGAGGTGACACATTGCAGGACATCAGGGGAGAGGTCCGGGGAGGATGGATATATCTCTATATCTCCTCCTGGCATGATAAAATTTTGTGGAAATAAAAAAATAAATAAATATATATATATATATATATATATATATATATATATATATATATATATATATATATAATCTCTATCTCTCTTGATCTACTCATTGTTCCCTTGTACATTATAGGTTCAAGCATTCCTACTAGGCCACCTTTATCTGCATTTCCCACCAAGGTGGGTAGATTTCTTATAAATGTTTAAAAAATTGTCTTGTGAAGCATATAGCCGTCACAAGTTTGTTACTTATACGTTTTTGTTGGGTATAGTACCTAAGCCATAATTAATGAAAATATATTAGTCTTATTATTTAATATTGATAAACAAGCTGGTGGTGTTAAACTTGTATATCTACGTCACCTAATCAGGTTACCATAGATTGGTTGATTGTTCTAATATCCTTCAAATTAAAACAAAGGTACATGTAAAAATTATGATCCCCCTCTGTTTTAACGCCACTCCCTCATTGGTCACTCCAATTCTCGTTTATAATCTGGTAAATATCACCGAGAGGCCAACACCACGCCACTTACGTCAGTGGCTTCAGGACCCCACGGGCCAAATCATAGCGCCTCTCTCGCCACCTGTAAAACTAGTTGGGCCTCACTTATCACCACAGTAGCCTATAATACAACTTCGCCACTTGGCATTAGAAGCAGTGTTATAGTAAATGGTACAAATACCTACGTTCCAACTCTGTTTACATTCATAGTATGTCTCACGTATCTTCTCACGAGGAGGAGGTCTCTTTATCAAGCACCCTTGATAGAGCCGGCTCCCCATCCAAACTCACAGATGCCCCTAATCCAACCTCCAGTTGTTGGTCTTGGACTATTCCTAAAATTACGGCTGAACTGAGGCGAAAAATCATACCTTTCCCTGCTACAGCTAGGAAGCAGAATAGTTGGTTTCGATTTGATGAAAATCAATGATAATGACAGGCCAAGCACTAGCCACGAGTGCTCCATACAAAATAATTTGACGGAACTTCACGGCATGTTCTCATCCCTGATGACTTCTGTTTGCTGTATGAATAAAAGATTGGAAAAGCTGGAAATTACTAATACCCCCAGCCAAACTGCTGAACCCGCCATTAGCTCACCTATCCCACAATCTGTGCACCCAGGTAATGTAAATGTATCAGCTGTAGCTAGCCTGCCAACCAAGATCATCACATGAGCACATCTTGTCCCCTTAAACCTCAGGAAGATATCTTGGAGGGTAAAGATGTTAATTTGGTGTCCCTATTGATTGTATCTAAATACATAATCATATTCTTTCAGAGACCTGTCAGTGGTTCTTAAAACCGGAAACCCCAGACTCTATTAAAAACTTGAATATCCCAGACTTTGTTCTGGCTTTTGGCTTGTATAGAGACGTCATTTGTTCTAATCAACCAGCCTGTAGAGAAGAACTAGATCTATATATGCTCAAATTAGTGGACCTTTGTCACGGCACACCGGGAGAGGCTGGTGCACTTCGCTCACCAGGCGCTGCATGAATTTTGGGAGTGGCGAAAGCTCCAGACCCCCCTCCAAGCCACCAGCTTGCACTTCACTCTCTCCTTGCCCATTGGCCCCTACAGCCATCCCATGTGGGTTGCGACATGCAGGGGAAAGCAGGCATGCCCTGTCTGCCTTTAAGCTTACCTCTCCTCCTGTGGGCATGTTGGGTAATGTGTTGTGTGTTCCCCATGCTGCTCCCGGATCTCCTCAGGGTGACAAAGCTCTGGGGAATCCAGCTCAGCAAGCATGGAAGCTGCATGGAGCTTTGCAAAATAACTTGTATAGGGCCTTAGTCTCCTCCTCATGGGGGGGCTCAAATTCCCTTTTCCCTATTTAAGAACAAGCCACCCTAGGGTCTGTGCTCAGTTGTTTTGGTGTTCCCCTGGAGTACAGAGCCAGCTTCTGACTGAAGTAAGTGGTTTACCCTCACCTGTGGAATTCCCATGAATCAACTTTTGCCTGCCTGAAACCTTGATAAACCCCTGTAACGCTGTCCCAGCTTTGAACTATTTCCTCCAATTCAATTTCTTCATTTACCAAGTGCTGGTACTCTGGTAAAACACCTTTTTAAATACTTTATTTCTTATGAAGAAATTGCTTTATTCAGTTTTTATACTTCCATCATATTCATTTGTTTTTCAAAAATAAAACCTTTTAACTCAGTGACTGCGCCAAATCTCTGCACGCCGAGTCCATTCATCCCAAACCCGTGACGACCTTGGGAATAAGTATAGAGGATATTCCTTCTACGATTATCACAAATCATTTCCTGCAAGAGCAGCTGCTACTCTAGCACAGTTTAGTGTAGCAACTTATTGGGGCCAGATGGACTCTAGGTTCCTAGTTGTGCCATATGTACATCCGCCACTCATTCGGCAAACCTTTGCGCAACAGAAATTAATCTCCCTTTCACCAGCCACGTCCACACAGAACTCCCAAATAGACCTATGCAGAGAGAATTGAAAGAAGTTTGGAAGACCCATTATCCTTCTATGGCACAGGTATGCAACAATTTCAACACCAGGGGGTTGTGGTTTTAGTGCCTGCAGATTACTGCACTTTTGTTCCTTATGTTTCAGGGCCCACGCCAAAACCATGTGCCCAAATAAGTTGTACCCGAATGACTGACAACAATAAAGGTTGACATTCTGCATTATTACTTGGCTGATCACCCCTCTTGTCATCTCACTAGATGTGAAGGTTTTTCTTCAGGATTTCACACAGGTACAGTGTTCCTTCCAACTGGCACAGTAGACTGTCCTAACCTACAGTCTGCTTCAAATGATCCCACTACCGTACAGCTATTGTTGGATGAAGAAATTTCCAATGGCTTTATGATAGGCGCTTTCGCGTGCTGGAGGTCCAGCCCACTGGGCATAGTGATGGGTAAATTTAACGATAAAAAAAATAGATTATTGATCTCTCAGCCCCACATTCCAGTACCATCCCTAAATTCACTAATACCATCTGGTGAATTCCCATTACAATACGCAAACCTTGACAATGCCATCAAGGCCATTATAGATTATGGGGGGAAAGCGTGGTTAAGCAAGACCAATGTTTCTAATGCTTTCAAACTACTACCCATACATCCTTCTCTTTTGGCACCTGCATGGAGTTAAGTGGGACCAGCAATATTTCTTCGCTACTAAACGAACGTTTGGGTCTAAGAGCAGTCCCAAGCTGTTCGACATGTTTGCTGAAACATTATGCTGGATCTTGCTTAATACATACAGGTGCCAAATGATTATTCACTATTAAGATTTCCTTGATGTTGAAAAATCTGACACAATACTGGTAGGCCTACAATACATTTGTTCAAAAATCTTAACGTTCCAATGGCATTAGATAAAACTGACCAGCCCTGTTACGAAATCACCTTTATAGGGGTTACACTTAATTCCGAAACAATGCAAGCAAATCTACCTCAAGACAAAATAATGCAAAGTTTGTAATACATACAATTACATACATACAATTCGTGAGTCTTGCACCAGGAAACCAATCCAGTAATTGTTAAGATCACAAAATTTTGCTATGACGGTGATACCTCAAGGTCGTTCCTTTATCTCAAGGCTACTTAATTTGCTGCACGGTCTTCCAGACGTTGATTCCAGGGTTTCTTTTGACATACAGGCTAAAGCGGAGTTGGCTATGTGGTAAGAATTCCTCACATCAACGGCAGATCTTTGTTTGTTCCACCTATTTCAGATAATTCACCAGTTGTTTGGACAGACGCCGGTTCAGTAGGCTATGCAGCCATTTTTTGTGATGAGTGGGTACAATCCAGATGGCCTCCTGAAGCTATGCAGCTGGTGAACTTTCCAGAATCGCCATCAATGTTCGACATCTTTCCTATAGTGGTTGCAGTTAGTATCTGGTGCCATAGTTGGAAGGGACAAGCAGTCAAGTGTTTTTCCTATAACCTAGCGGCTTGTCACATTGTTAAAAAAGGAAGGTCTCAGTCTCTGACTATTATGAAATTAATTGGGAAACTGACTTGGTTGGCTGCTCCGCATCAATTTTTCTTAGAATACATTCATGTGCCAGGAAAGAGCTGACCCCTTATCACGATCTTAATTTCAGGAGTTCATTCACTTACAAGCTACGGCGAACCCACAATCCAAAGAACCCCCAGTCTTCAAGGAGTTACTAATGGACTGAACTATCTACTGGCACAAAGTAGAATGTTGGCCCAAGCGGGTCTATCTGTAACTACAAGGAAAGCATTTCAAAGAGCATATAAACTGTTTATGAAGTTTGTTGCTGACTTCAATATAATGTTTTCTCCTTAGAATAGATTGTCGCTTTTACAACTTTTTGCCACATTTCACTAAAACTGGCCTACAATACGATCAAACTGTATTTAACAGGTATCGAACATTACCTACTAACATCTCATCCAAATCATAACCTCTTATTAAAGTCACACCCAGTGAAGAGCATCCTTTAAAAGGTATTCAACGCTTCAAGTACAGAAACCCCCCCAAACGTTTACCAATAGACCGTAACATTTTTCAGAGCAATCTCAGATTTGCTGGACACCAAACCATTCGAATACTATACAACAATAGTTATCCAAGCAGCCATATATTTGGCTTTTTACGGGTTCTTAAAGCACCCAGACCACTTCTGCCCATTGGAGTGGTCTGGGTGCCAACTCCCACCACCCTTAACCCTGCAAGTGTAATTATTGCAATTTTTATAAACTGCAATAATTACTTTGCAGGGTTAAGTCCTCCTCTAGTGGCTGTCTGTCAGCCACTAGAGGGACTTCCATGTTCTCAGAACACGAAAAGTGTTTTAAACAACGCTGGACATCCTCACACTATGCATGAGGACCTCCAGCGTCGCCAGAATCCCCATAAGAAAGCATTGAATAATGCTTTCCTATGCGAAGGTCTAATGTGCGCGTGCCGTTGCCACGCATGAGCATTAGGTCTCCCCCGCCGGCTGACGGCGTGGGAGGAGCGTAGGCGGAGCCTGACCCAGTGCCGAGGGACATTGGTGCTGGATTCAGGCAAGTCACTGAAGGGGTTTTAACCCTTTCAGTAACATGGGATGGGGTGGGAGGGAGAGTGCAGGAGCCTGCACTGCCAGGAAAACGGATATGTTTTCCTGGCACTGTAGAGTCCTTTTTAAGACCAAAAGAGTTCACGGTGGATCGATCCATATAAACACAAACACGCTTGAGGAAGGCGGGAATTCCCTCCAATGGCCATTGGAGTAACTAAATGACCTCCATTTGTCTAAATATGCATAGGGATTAAGGAGAGAGCGCAGGTAACTTTCTTTTTTTTTTTTTTTTGTCTTTGGTTTTTAACTATATATTGGGGCTGATGTGTACTGTAGTCATTGCTGCCGCCCAGGAGGGATGGGAGTAAGTGCAGGACTTATCTTTTTGTAAATGCTTAAGGAATCGTGAACTAGTAAAAAATAAATAAAAAATAAATCACTTTTTCTTTGTCCATTAAACAGTCTAAGAAAAATCAAATAGGGCATCCTACATTTCATTCTACCCAATAGGTAATAAATGATGTCAAGGTGTTTAAAGCATTGGTAAGTTCATCAAATACATCTAAACCAGAGTCATTGTTTAGTCTGCATGGCAAACCAATGACCACTCAAAAATTTATGTTGTACGTTAAGATGTTGATCATTGGATTAGAATTAAATCCAGCATCATTTACGGGTCATTTTTTTTAGGATTGAAGCAACCACTTCAGTATCAAATCAGAACATACCAACTCATGTCATTAAAAATGTAGTAGGCATCCAAACTACTATTAATGCCCATGTGTGGAAAAGAAAACCCCTCAGACTGGCCACCACAAAGCTGGGCCTACAGCACACCAAAGGTGGGTTGGGGGTGCCTGATATCCGCTATTATTACAGGGCCTCGTTGCTGGCACAAGGCCTGAGGCTACTTCGGTCCCTTGATAGGGAACAGGCTCCCATATGGTTAGCACTCGAAGACCTGCCTACACCTGGTTACTCAACAATTTCCATGTGGACCAGTGCGCCCAGCCCCGCAGGAAAAAATGCTTTATGGTGTACAAATACCACTTTGTCCACATGGAAATCCTGGGCCTTGGTGCTGTTTGATGCTAAATCATTGATTAAGGTGGCACCCCTCACAGCGCTACAAGCGCACTCCCCTGACCTCGCATTACACAAATGGTCAGCTCTGGGAATACGCACAGTAGGGAACCTATATGACCAGGACACATTAAAAACATTCCCAGTCCTGTTGAGCGAATTTTATCTAGCCCCCAGAGATCTATTCCTGTACTTAAGAGTCAAAAACATTCTACTATCATACAACTCGTCCGAGGTGGACGTACAGTGCTCAGTGCCGCTCTCCATAAGTTACATCATGAACTCCCGCTCCATTAAACTCTTATCCCTATATTATAACACACTATGGGACGAGGCTTCACTGCATAAACTTCTATACATAGGGCGATGGGAGGAGGACATCGGGTGTGAATTTACCCTGCACCAATGGCGGGGGGCCTTTACCCTTACCAAGCGAGCATCCCAGAGTCTCTCCCTATGGGAAGCGTACTGTAAAGTTACAATGCACTGGTACGTAGTCCCCCATAGACTGTCCAAGATCTTCTCAGGAGCTTCCCCAGTTTTCTGGAGATGAGGGGAAAGCACCGGGAACATTGCTGCATATCTTCTGGGAATGCCCTAGCCTAAGATCATTCTGGTCCCGCATACAAACGCTCATACACACAGTCACCGCTTTATCACTCCTGGTGTCCCCCGAAAGCTACCTACTGGCAGAAATGTTAGCGCGTGTGTGTGTGTATATATAAAAAAATAAAAAATAAAATGTGTGTGTGTATATATTATATATATTTATACAAAAAATTTTTTATATATATATACACACACACACACACGCTAACATTTCTGCCAGCACAATATATAAATAAAATGTTAGTTTTTATTTAAGACCAAATTGTGTTTACCATGACAGGTAGGGGGATAATACCTGGCAGCATTACACCGCTATTGACAGTTCAGTGCTTTAATTCACAAATCTCCTAACCTTTCCAATTGACTTATTAGGTCTGGTTCTGTCATTCCTGGTTGTCCTCCTCCTTACAATCTTGTATGAAGCCTCCAAGGTTTGGAAGTCCAATCTCCTCAACAGAGTCCTGCTGACCATACCAGTGTCTCCCGAACGTTCTCAATCCCCAACCCGGAGTACGGATTTAGAAGCAGAGTCAGCTGCAACCTCTGACCCATTACTGTCCCCTGACAATCTTTCAAACCAGAACACTGAAACGATAGAACCTCTCTCTAGGGGATACCGTTCATCACCCTGCAGGTAAAAGTACTGACATTGTCTCGATGCATTTCTCTGCACGAGGCAAACGTCTGTATACCTAGAATGTTTGGGAGAGCCTAATGGTGTTTAAGATTTTTGGTTTAAAAATGTAAGATGTGTTAATATTTTTTCCCCCTTTTTTCTCTCCTCTTCTGCATCTGATGTGGTTGACAGAAACCCAGTACTATTTTTACAATGGAGGAATAGGTAGTTAAAAGGGGACCCACCTAAGCAACATAATTACTACAGGTTAAAACATGTGGTGCTTTGTCCAAAAATTTGGACTATCCCAGCCTCATAATCTTATGTCACTTCTGTCTAATGGATGGCATTCAGAGCGCCCTTTTTAATTAGCAAAATTAATACAAATGAATCCGCACTGTGGAATAAGCTGGCGCTATATAAATACCAATAATAATATCTGTTCTGGGGTAAACTCCCTTGATTATTCTCCAGACATCAATGTGGCCTAATTTGCTCAGGTTGACACAAATTGTATAAATATAGGAGATCACCACTGCATCACTGTTTAGTAAATGTACCCCAATGATAACATGCAACATTTAATACTTTTTTTTTTCCTTTCCATTGGAGTAATATCTAAAAACATCCTACAAAAGCTGCAGATCTCTACGCTGCAGCTTTGCAAGGCACCCCCTCCTAAATCGCAGGCTTTCTTATCACAGACTTTCCAATGTGTTTGGAGCAATTTCTGCCTTTTGAGTTAAGCACCACTAAAAAAAGAGGAAGTAATAGATTGTCTGACAGCCAGGTGCAGGTAACGAGGTTAATTTAGTAAAATGACTTCCTATTGAAATCTACACTTTTTGTAAAATAAAAAGGACAGACGAGCTTTAGTTCTTTGGAGAGACCCTATAACATTACTTATTCAAATTGCATACATTAATCGCATGACCTTAACAAAGCTTATTGTCTGCTCCCAGAATTCGAGGTGTAGAGTTGCATGACCACTAGTGTCTGGGATGGAACCACATCCATCATAGCCATTCCAACTGGTGTTCTCCGTTTTCCGTGTAAAATATGATAATACTTTAGAAAAATGGAATGTGTATTATTTAGAGAAATCATTTTATCTGAATTAAAGCCCTGCGGAATTTGTTGGCACTATATTAATAACATCACGCAGGCACTGCCTAACCCTCAGGGCATAAACTGTTTGGTTTTAAACCTGAAGTTGGTCCTCCATGAAGGTTTGCCTTGGCAGCTGGTGGTAGGCTGATGGCGTTCGACGCCCTGTGTACAGCAATGATACAGTTCCTGGGGGATGAAGTGCGAGGAGTTGCGTAAGAAAATGGCGGAGCTCACGGGGGACAGATTTAGTGCCGTATAAGTAATTTCAGCTGTTTGCAAATTGTGGCACTTTTAAAGGAACAATCCAAACCCCTAATTAATTATAGCTGGTTCCACCATGTAAGTAGTTAAACTGTTTGCCAATACCTGTGGCCACTGGGCACCAATTTCTCTCTCTCTCCTGTCCCGCTATGAAGTGCTAGGAACATCCAGCACCTTTCCTGAGCTAAGACTTGCAATGCTCGGCCTGCTCACTGGCTGAGAATGTCAGCCGATCACTCTCAGCCGATGAGCTGCACAGCTGGTATTTGCTTACAGCTCTTTTAGAGTCTCGGAGAAGCACCCGGTGGACCTCTGGTTTAACCACTGGTAAATGGTGCTTGGAGCATTCCTTTAAGACTGTAAATGCCAGAAGCGTGAAATAGATTTAATATCTGAAACATTTTGTTAACCTCAAACCTTTACATTTGTGACATTTATATGACCACAGTGAATACTTAGCTTGGAGGAAAGACGAGACAGGGGGATATGATAGAAACATTTAAATACATAAAGGGAATCAACACAGTAAAGGAGGAGACCATATTTAAAACAAGAAAAACTACCACAACAAGAGGACATAGTCTTAAATTAGAGGGACAAAGGTTTAAAAATAATATCAGGAAGTATTACTTTACTGAGAGGGTAGTGGATGCATGGAATAGCCTTCCAGCTGAAGTGGTAGAGGTTAACACAGTAAAGGAGTTTAAGCATGCGTGGGATAGGCATAAGGCTATCCTAACTATAAGATAAGGCCAGGGACTAATGAAAGTATTTAGAAAATTGGGCAGACTAGATGGGCCGAATGGTTCTTATCTGCCGTCACATTCTATGTTTCTATGAATACATGCATGTAAGTATTCATTGGGAGTATATATATTAGTGGGGGTTTTCTGCTTTTTTTTAAATGATGGAGTGTTTTTTTTTTTGTTTTGTTTTTTAAGTGAAATCAAAGCTTAAGTTTATTTTCTCCCACACCCAGCTTTCTGACCAGTTTTTGTTGTATGGGTCAAGTAATAGGCCTCACACTAGTGGTTTAAGGCACCCCCTCCAGACGGCGTATGACTGCTCTCTCTTTAATCACAAGCTATTGTAAGCAGCCACCCTATAAGTACAGTCAAACGGTATAACCCTATATTTTGTAAAACTGTAGCACCAGTAATGCTTTTCCAGACTGGTTTAGAAGGCTTTTGGGGGCAGCAAGTTCAATTACTTGTATGGTATATTTTTAACACAACTTCCCGTTACCTTTGACAAGCCACCTTCATAGCCTTCTATGTGAGAGATTATGCTACAAATCAAGTTCCAATGAGAATAGTGCTTCATGTAAAGGTATTATAAGCCACAGTTTTTCTTAAAATCGTGATTCCATTCATTTTAATGAATAAGTGCAAATTGCTTAGTGCTGAACTATATATCCTACGTCATTTGCTGGGCAGGTATATTTTGGATGAAGAGATGGAGGGGTGCTCATTGGTTACAACCACTTCCTGGTCTGGAGTGCAGTTACAGGAGAACCAATTCAATGGTCCTCATTTATATTTCATTTTGAAAGATATCTAGCCACATTGTCATTAGCACCCTCAAACATGCTGAGGTGGAATTTTGTCAACCAACCTTAAAGGACCACTATAGGCACCCAGACCACTTAAGCTCAATTAAGTGGTCTGAGTGCCAGGCCCCCCTAGTTTTAACCCTGCAGCTGAAACATTGAGGGTTAATCCAGCTTCTAGTGGCTGTCTTCTTGACAGCCACGAAAGACCGCTTCTGCGATCCTCAATGTGAAATTGCATTGATCTGAGTAATGCTTTCCAAAGGGCGGTTTGAATGCACACGCAGCTCAGGCCGCGCATTCGGAGCGGACGTCGGCAGGGGGAGGAGAGGTCACCAGCACAGAGGGAGCCCTGCACTGGATTAAGGTAAGTGGTGAAGGGGGGCTCCGAGGGAGAACCTAATAACCCTATAGTGCCAGGTAAACGAGTTTGTTTTCGTGGCACTATAGTGTTCCTTTAAGCCCTTTGGTCTTTTCTGTGTTATTTCTTTGCATACACTGTGGGTCTATGCCAAGTTGGCAAGCATGATAATTGTTCATAAACACCTGGCCAGGGTAGCATAGAACTAGTCTCCCCTACCATGTCTTTGAATAGGAGCATGTTACGTTGCTGGGGTATACTGCCTAATCCTTATTATCCTGTTTTCTCTCTGCTCACAGGTGGTGGCTTCTTCATGGCTTTGTTACCCTGCTTCACACAGCTCAAGTTGTTCTTGGATACATGATCATGCTATGTGTAATGTCGTACAACGCTGCCATCTTTCTGTCCGTCATCATTGGATCTGCCCTAGGTTACTACGTGGCATTCCCCCTCCTCTCTAAATACCCCAAACCCTGCTACCTATAAGATGAAGGATTTTACACTTCAACAGATGAAGCTCAGTAGTGATATTCTTATTGAATATTCTCATTCGGTCTCACCATAAGTGCTGCATTGGTGGTGGCTTGTTCTTCCTAGTCTGTGAAGATGTTTTACTTTGACACTCGTGCTTCTCCTGGTCTTCCTGCAACCATTATCTCCACCTATTGTCTAGAGACCGCTGCACTGATCTGGAGTTTGTGTCTCCTCTGGCCACCTGATGGTGGCAGGTGCCTTATTGCTCTTCCTATTGTGATAACTCCAATTACAATACGTAGGTCTCTCCTTTAAATTAACAGACTACATATAAAATTGCCAAGTCTAGAACTGGATCCCTAATGTGCTGCCTACTGTGGGCCCTGTAATTAATCAAATCTAAACATCAAAAGGGGTCTGTATGTTGGGTTTAATGTTTTGTTTCTTTAAAACAGTTCAGAAAGTTAAAATTATTTTAATAAAATTTTTTGCAGACAGCAAGATGGCTTAGAGGTGAGGGATCAAATTGCTGATCAGAACAACATATGGAAACGTTAACCCAGCATGGTGGTTTTTTTTAATATTGTACTGAATGTAAATTTATTAAGGTTTGTATTAAATGTATTTTAAAGTTAATAAGTCTTATTTTAGAATATTTGTGTTTGGTTTATTCTTAAAGGGCCACTCCACATACATAAATAGCTTCAGTATTTTAAAGGTGCTGGTTTCTATGAGAAGTTGGCTCTTAAATGATTAAAGATGAAACCCCTCTGCATCTGTCAAAAAGCTAGGGATATTTTGCTTCCTACTTCGGTTAGCTCCCCCTCAGCTATCAGAAATGGCAGGTGAGCTCTACTCGCATCCCACATCTCAGACATCAGATTAGCGAGTGTTCTTTTGGAACACTGTGTGCACGCGGATTAATTGCTTCAGCGGCTCCCCAGTGAGTAGACTGTGATAGGTTATTTCCTGGAGAAGAGACTGCAGCTTTTGCAAGCTCTTTAAATATATGACCACAGTGAATACATGCATGCAAGTATTTATTGGGAGTATATCTATTAATTAGTCTTTTTTTTTTTTTTTGCTTTTTTAAATGATGCAGTGGTCCTTTTTTAAAGTGAAATCAAAGCTTAAGTTTTTCTTCTGTACCCAGCTTTCTGACCATTTTTATTTCCCGTATGGATCAAGTAATAGGCCCCACACTAGTTGTTTAAGGCACCCCCCCTCCCCACACACACACCCAAGACTGCGTATGACTCTTTAATTCCAAGTTATTGTAAAACTGCAGCACCAGTAATGCTTTGCCAGAATTAAGGTAAACTGTCAAAGTTGTAGTTCTATACACTGGCCTATAGACTTAACGAACATTTGGGGTGCAAGGTTTAGCAAGTGCTGCCGTATACTGTATTTGCTGGTGTTAAATAAAAATATGTACTTAAGTATTAATGAGCATCTTGCAAGCAGATGTCCAAACCAATCCGGAGTGTCTTGCTTGTATAAATTCTCAGATAAAATCATTAACGTTTTTAATAAGCAAGTCTTTTCAAGACTCCCAAAATGGACCTGGGCATTCTGCATTAGCAGGAAAAATCACTTGGGATAACTAGGACTGTTACTGTAATATGTTCAAGAGCTACAAAACAGAAAACGTGTGACACTTCATTTTCTTATAATAAAGTTTATTTATTATAATTAAAAGCTTTTTTATTTTAGACGTTTTTAAGTTTTAATAAAATATATTTTGGAATTAAGTAGATCTGGTTACGGAATAAAAAGGCACTGCTTGGTTTGAAAGGGGCTGGGCGTGGAATGTGGATCAGAGACACTCCAGCAGTTCTGGCCTACATTACCCATAATGCCTAGTGTGTGTTACAACTGGACACGAATGGGGAAAAATAGCCCACAACAGGTGACGTGAAAATAGTACATTACACAATCTGTAGTATTTGCAGTCAAACAAAATACAGTTCAAACTGTGTGGGGCTTTGTAGGGCAGTGTTACAAACACACAAATTGGTATATAAAGTATGATAACACCTACTCAAGGACATCTCTCATACAAACAAGGATATTCTTTGTAGTCCATCTATGTAACACTCATATACAGGCCTATCTTACATGTTCAATAGCTTGGTCACAAAGGGTGGTACTTTGACATATTTATACAGAAGAAGTCCCTAAAGGTAGGTGTCACAGACACAAATATGAGAACAGTTCTCTCTCTATCCAAATCAAAAATATTGTGAAGCTAGTGTATGTTTTGGTTAGTGTTTTTTTTCTGTTTTATGCACTTACTGTAGATTGGGTGTGATATACAGGTGAGGCACAGCAGGAACAGAATACTTGTGCAGTGACACATCTTAAAGGGTAGGTGGCAGTAACGGGAGATGACTAATGGTATATAAGCTAAGCAAACTGACAGACTGTGCTAGTCAAACTGGAAGCACTAGCTTTAGCCAGATACAGAGATTGGATAAATTAGATGTCGAGAGCAAAACTTGCTCATGATTGATTGATATGTGGTGACCGTGGGTCTGATCTGACGTAGAAAGGGTTATTCACTAAAGTGGGAATTATCTGGTATTCGTTGAATTGTAACTTTTAAGCCAAAATAGATTAAATAGATTTCCTTTTTTTTTTTTTTATTAAGTATTCTGGCCTAAATTTTGATATTTGCTTTGGATTCCAGACAATTTAAACTTTAGGAAATAACCCTGGGAATGTTTCTGCAAAGCCGTGTGGAATGTTGTAAATATTCAACAGTAAGGAATGTGTGCAGCGTTCACACGTTTTCAACCCTGTCGTAGCAGAAAAGTCTAGCAGAGCTCAAAGCATTTAAATAGTTTTGTGCCAAGGGATGGAGAGTCTAGCTGTGCTTGTGCCCTCCACAGGAGTTCATTATATGCTCCTCCACCCCTTGTCTCCAACTGTGAACCAGTCTCAAGTTTGAGGAGTTCAGAATGGAGTGATTATTTCATCTCTTTTCCGTGGTGCAGGCACTGGAATTTCCCTATAACCTTCTCCTTCTTCGTCCTCCTCACTCATCGGAGACTGAAACCCACTGTCATCTGGTGTGGACTTGAGCTCTTGTGCATGGAAAGACTGGTTCTCTGTTTCTGGAGGGAAAACCGTGCTGGCCGTTTCATCCTTTGGCATCTCACATGGCAGAACTGAAGGGAGATGTGTGCTGGATGGTTCTTCAGATGAATTCTCTTCTGGTAAGTCGTCAGGCTTATGCGGTGGATGATCTAGCACCAACTTTTGATCATCATGCACAATATATTTTTGTGCCAACTCTTGCTCTCCACGTGCAACTTCCTGGACGTAGTGTGCCACAGCTTCTCGTGCCACCTCTTGAACATAATGTGCAACATCTGGGTCATCATAAGCCACATCGTCAGCCATTTCATGTCTATCATGTGCAACGTCTTGGTCACTGGATGTCAAATAGTCTGCCCCATCATGGTGATCATGGATAATATCTTCTTGAACCTCTATTGTACTATGTTTCTCCTGTGTGCTGGTTTGTGTCACCCCTTCATTTTCTGTCCTTAGGTCACTATGTGCCAATTCCTCAGCCATCGGTCTTCCTTGTAATACATTTTCTTCATTTGTAACTTCCACTCCTTTGGACCTGTCTTCGTGTACAGGTCTTGACTGTTCTTGTTGTATCTGTGTAATGTGCACAGGCTCTTCCTCCAAAATGGGTTTTTCTGGTATTTCTTCAGCATGAGTATCCTTAACTGGAACTTCCACATCAAACTCTTTCACAAGCATACCTCGGATTTGGGTAACATCGCTGGACTCTGGCTCTTCAGGGATAACTGCGTTTGCAGGTGGTTCCTGGCAGGACGCCGGATAATCCGGGTCCTCGTCTTCCTGGATGAGAGACACCACCTGTCGCGCCCTTCCATGTCTACCTCCACTTGAGGATTCATTAGGATTGGCATACTGTTCACTCCAGTCGACCGATGGCTCATCCCCCAGTAAGTGTAGGTTTGGATCGCTGTTGTGCATCACTATACTGTCCCGGTATAAGTTGTGTTTCCGCTGAATGGCAGCCTCCTTAACCGCTGCAAGAGTAGAAAACCAGAGTTGGCAAATTAACAAGTGGCCTGACCGACATGCACCCACCACTAAATGTTAAATAGTTTGTATTCACCATACTCACCCTGCACAATATCTCTCATCACAGTCTGTAACACAACCTCTTCGTAAGTGTTCTCCACCAGAACAAATCGCGAGAGCTCCTCAAATATGAGTTCCTGATAACGTGGCAGCTCCTGGTAACATGAATATAAAGTGGACAGATTCAAGGTCCAGGAAAATCTAACAAATTAATTCATTGAAAAACCTTTCGGTACCTGCTATTTCCTTATCCCCTTTTACTTCTGAAGACTGCACCTGAGTGGACTCTGGTTAACGCAACTGTGAGTGGTCTGAGCATTCGTAATTAAAGTGAGCTCTCAAATGGAATGAGGCACATGGTTATGACTCCTAGATCGGATTCTATTCTATATTCTTAATGTTTTCGTTAAAATAGAGGAAGCTACATTAGTTCAATAATGCAACTACAAAATCATAGTGTACTGCAGCATCTTGTCATACTTTTTTTTTTTTTAATCGAACTAATACTACTTTGAGATTAAACGTTTTGCCACCTTCCTTCCTGTTTCGGTTAAATACACAAATGCTTAAAAAAAAACAACCAAAACTTTGCAAATTACGATTAGCCGACTAAAACAAAAACAATGGTGAGATACTGCAGTATTCCATAATCTATCATATTACGTACAGAAATAATTTACAGATTGAAATGTAAGTATTTGAGAATGTTCACGGCAACTGGTTGGGTGAATATAGGTGTACGGCACCCATACCACTAAACCTACCATATTCTGCCATGTCTATTTACCTATTCCAGAGACCATTAATCATGGCACTCTTAATGTTTCGGCAGTTTTCCTAATCCCCAGCCAGTAAGGATGTTTGAACATCATGGGGACTGTGTTTAACTCAGTAGAATAGATCAGTAATGTAAGATCACCTTAGCATGCTAACTACTACCATATTCCCTTTTGCCATTGTAAGAGCATCTCTCCCCATTCACCCCCCCCACCCCCCACCCCCCTTCTTATACAAAATGTTTCCTCACCGATTTACACGTGGGCGCCAGCTTCTTCAGGAGGAATGGGATAATGATCTGCAGTAACGCTTCCTGAAAGAACTTCTTTCGAACACTGCTACTGTCATAGTCGTATTTCTGCAAAAGTTAGTTGGCGTACATTAACAAACAGCATTGGTAAAACACTTGGCATATTGTGCACTTCAGTTGTTTTTTTTGTAAATATAATTTTATCCCTGATCCAAAAAATCAAAACTAAATCCTCAAGGGATGATAGATGGAAGAAACTGTGGGAGTTAGAGTGCTACTTTACACTATATGCAAGAAAATTTATTTTATAAAACTTTATTTCACAGAGTAGAAGAGGAAAGAGAACTTGGTAAGGGACTAGTTATATGCTATTTATACATTTATAAAAGAGGAGGCCAACTCCAACTGCTTCCTTACCTTCAGAACACGTTCCAGAATACGTTGGATATCTCTACATAGGTTCTCATCGCCTTTAGATTTGTTCAGCTCCTGGTGTACCATCTGTTCAAATGTGAAGACTGCGTTGTCTGTTTGCTGGAGAGATAAGGGGGGTGAGTTCAGACTTAACGAACAGATTGTTTGCTCCACAGAAACTAATCCTGATAAAAATGTCTAAATTCAAGGATTTTTATGAACACCATTCCATATCCCCCTACAGCTATTGTGAACACATATACTCTATAAATGATAATAGGCCAGCACGCCATGTACAGCATTAGTTAATAGGTTCTGACCTACTTTGCATATATCCACCGATCTATAGATCATTTCTTATAAGGCTCTGCAACATGTTACCATATAAAACACAACTCCAGCATCCTTCTGTTAAGCTACTTCTCTAATAAAGTGTGTTTGTTACTCTGGAATTCAATGAAAGTAGCTCACTTGCATACATGCTTGGTTTCTGCATATCTCCCATAAACCTCTGTGAAAAATACAGAAAAGACTAGGGTCTTGCCAAGCATTTTCTTATGAAACTAAACTGCGGGTTTTCTCAAATTAAATCCGAATGGAAAAAGAGGCACAAATAGCCTAACCCTGTTACACGGCACCCTAATAAATTACTGCAAACAAGGAGTGCTAAGACGAGAGCAGCAGTTGTAGTAAGGTAGTAAATTCACCCTCAACTAGAACTTAAATAATACACAAGTCTGAAGGGAGACTATATTAACTAAAATACAGCCTTGAGAACAAACAAGCCATTAACAAGGCTCAGAATTCACACATTCACTAGCCTGCGGCAAGTACAAATTCAGCCCTGATGAGTATGCCATGTACTCTCCATGCCTGCAGTGGCTAATAAGGTTTAGGCCCGGCTAGTATTTTAGAACATCAAATTTTAAGCCCTGCCCGCAAGACGTTTTGTTTAATAGCCTAGTCCTCTATAATAATAAACACTAGATCTTGATAAATGCTTGGATTATGAGGCCGAGACTCTGATTTTGTAATCTGGTAAAAAGCCATTGTATTTTAAAGTCAACCTCTGCCATTTACAGTCCCTTCAGGCAACCCCTTAAGGACAAATGACGGGACAACCCTTTAAGGACAAATGACGGAAATATCCCGTCAGGATTTCTTTTTAATTGTGTGTTATTTGAGTTGTGTCCTTAAGGGGTTAATAGGGCACCTGTATGTAATTGACAAAGGAAGTACTTTTCAGCCAAAAACACAGCTAAACAAGATTATATTAAGCCAATGTACATCGAACTAAGGGTGGCCTATGTGTAGTTATTATGTAGCTTTACAGAGAGCTTTTATTCGCTGACCAATGAATTGTAAACTGAAATCCGAATTGTAAAAACGGAGGGCAAAATAGCCAACCTGTGTGAAAATCGCAGTTGGAGATTTTAGCCAGCAGAGGGCACTATTGGTTCATAATTGCACTAGAATGTAACATCACACTAGATAAAGCTTGCTGGGTGAGTGAAGTGTAGAAAAGGGACAATTTATGCAAGCAGGTTACCCAGACAACCCATAGTTTATCTTCCCAGGTAATTGAGTGAGAGATAAAAAACCATGAGATTGTTTTGTGTGATTTTTATAAAATCTGGACCCTTACCTCTCTCATGAGTATCTGTGCTCTTTGTTTAAAGACAGCTGGACTTCCTACGTCAAACCTCTGCTGCAATCCCTCTAGATTTAGTTGATCCATCTTCTCGTAGCAAGGCTGCATCTTCACTGGGTGGTAGGCCAGCTGGGATATCTTTTCCATATGCTGGTGAGGAAAAAGAAAAGCACATGTTTACACAGTCTTCCTCTGGAAAATATTCGGTTGTCCTCTATATCCCTTAAGCAGCGCAGTGTCAGGTGCCTATTGATGCCTTGTTCAAACACGAACTACCAAACATTGCACACCATAACAGGTCCACCACGTCAGCTATATGGGCTGCAACAGCCAATCATCGCACTCCACTCCATGTGCTGTGACTGTTTAATGTTGTAATCCACATCATAATGTTTAGCATTACGACAATCAAAACATATAGAGATCAAAATGAACAGGCGTAGAATGAAGCCTTAGAGAACACGAACGCTTAAGATGGTGTGGGCTGTAGTAAGTATTCTATAAGCCAGGCTCCGTTGTTGTAGTTGAAAGCTTACAGGGAGCAAAATCATTAGAGCTTGGCTTTGGGTTATGGGAGTTATGGATATGAATAGGAGTGTTATACATTAGTCATCGTTAAGCTCAAGGATGGAATTATGATTTACACACAGATTTTTACACGAACATCGATATGAACTGCAACTATAACCATTTTTAGCCAGATGCAAAAAGATGGCAGTTGTAATCCACAGCATCTGTACATATATGTCCCCCATGTTTGCCGCCAGGCCATATACTATAGCAAACTAAAGAAAATCCCTTTACGACATAGTCACATGCAAGGTCATCTCTTTATATGAACACTGATATATTGTGATCACTTTCTAGTTTTCAGTTCCCAATTTGAGCCACAAGCTTCCTCTGCGCCCAAACACCCGAAGCATTGTACACCACAGATCCTGGGTCTGAAACTTCAATTTAGCAACTTTTACCTCTCCAAGCTTCTCTTTTCCTCCCCCGTTCACCAGATTCATGTTCATGTCGGTGATCTCTCTGAAAAGAGTTTCTCGGACCTCAGAAAATCCCTGGCTGGTGGGTACCATCAGGGCTTCCAGGATAGATGGGATGTGCGACTGGACGTGATTCCTCACACACAGCTCAGACTTTGGCAATACAAAAGCTTGGGGGACAAAAATAAATCTGTATATTAGACATAAATTTGGGGAAAGTTAGACACACACTAGACACTATCTAAATTATAAACTCCTATTTTTTTTCCCCTCCACTAGACGATCCTCACTTATAACTGAAAGAAAAAATCTTCTGGTTTTTCCCAGTGATTTTCCACAGTCATTCTACGATTACATTTAGCAATACGTGGAATTCCTTATTTTGTCGATAGTGTTTTTCCATCAGTAGTTTTGTCCAAGGGGCAGTTACAGTCGTTACAGAGTATTTTAAACCGGCCCTCCGCCTTCCAGGTTCTGTATCTGCCCGTACCTCTTATCTTGTTATATACGTGTTCTTTGCAGGAAATGATTTGGTCCATATCAGTTCGAATCTGGCTCTCCATTTCTGGTGTCTTCTCTGTGCATTTCTTCCCCAGCGCTTCGTAAAACTGCTTTGTCTGCTCGTGCACCAAACGATACACAGTGTCGGAAATCTAGGCAAATACAAGCAAAAACACAAGAACATTAACAGTTTGTTCATCTAACACTAAACAGCTTACCGGGCGGGACATAAAATGCTCAGACTTTTTGTTGATTTTTTTTTGGTGAATTTGCTTTTTAAACAGAGGCTTGACTTATCTTATTTAACTTTTGTCTCAATTTATTGATTGCACGTGTTCTTTAGCCATTAAAGTCATTTCACTACAGTTTATCTTTCCAGTGTTTTGTTGTAAGTGGTTATGGTTTTGTATTATTTTTGATGTGGTACTATTACAAGAGTCAGCAAGGTCAGTGTAGCCACATTATTAGGTAACAGACATGGTCACATATTCCATCGGTAGCATAGGATATATATCACCTTCCATGCCCCTCTTTTTGACAGACAACTCTCCTCGCTCACCTGGAGTTAGCATGTCCGTTCCCATCTTCCTATGGCTCCCATGTCCAAAACTTCCATCATTATAATGCACGCACATCCTATATCCGAAACTGCCTAGCTTATTCAGTAAACGGTATTACTGCCTTTACTCCAAGCACATGGAAGGGCACTGCATCTAACTTCTTCCCACATATATTCCGAAGCCCGGGCATCTTCCTAGTCCCTACTCGTGTATTAACTCACTCACTCATCCATCCATCTCAATCTTCTCGTTTATACCCCACTTTTCAGGTATGTCCGCTAGGCTACCCCTACTGTCGCAAGGGACCAGTCACTCATATGCCAGGAGGCGAGTCACTGACGGTAAACGTTGTACAAATTAGGAAAAAGCAAACAAATTGTGAAACATAATATAAAATCGAGAAAGAAAAAAACTTAAGTTATTCAGGATCTGTGGCGGGCCTGGGTTGGTGTTTTTCGTACATTTTGTTGCCTTTGCTTATTTTATTAAAATGTTCCAAATATAGTTATTTTTATGTATAATACAATTTTGGAAACTGTATAGAAGCCACAAGTACATAGTTGCAGCTTTATGATAATTACATTGTATGACTAATGGAAGTACAATTTACCATTAGAATAGCCCTACAATGAAAGCACAATAAAACGAGGGGGAGCCTTGCAAACCACCAGTTCTTTTCCCAGAAGGATCAACGAAAGAGCGTAATTTTGAGGATATGGTTTTCATGTTTTCCTGCCTTAAACAATTGGGCAGCTCAGCCTGTATTTTTGTAGCACTTTTAAATGACCCACCCATTGCAGGAACTTGATAAGAGAAAGATCTGTAAGAGTGCAGTGGCTTTCAAAGGGCAGACTGTGGAGCTCTTTGACGCAATTGTACACGGTGCTGTTTTACTGCCATGGAGCTCTGTGATGCACTAATATACTGCGTGGTTTTACTGCCTAGAGAGCTCTGTGATACCATGTTGTTTTACAGATGCATGCATGTACAGTGATAAGGGTGTACTAATACACAGTGGGCACCCTGCACACAGCAAGGGCAGACAGAATGTTACGCCTAACAAGCCAACTGTGAATGCAAAACATAGAGAGAACAGGATATACCAAGCGAATTATGTACTCAGAGAAGCAGGATGTACCAAGTGATCTGTGCAGGAACAAACAAGGATAGGGGGGAGGGAGGGGGCATTTCAGCTCAGTAAAAGACATCTAGAAATTAAATCAACTAAATCAATTCACAGGGAAGCACAGCCATCGCGTTTCTCACCGTCTTACCAAGAAATTAAATTAGTTAGTTATTCTGCAACAAAATTTTAAAAATTACTTCATAGGCTCTGCAATTACAAATGTTGCGTGATCTGAGGTCTAGTAGTAAATAAACATGGCTGCCTCCTGTGGCTTTTAATGCCAGTAATATCCGGACTCCCACGTTTTAAGTAATCAAACCGTCTTAGAATGGTTTGAATTCTTAACTCGGGGCCGTCCCCTGCGTTCACTGCTGATAAAGAAGAGTTCCTAAGCAGAAAAGTCCATTAGTCCTCCTGAGAGGGGGCCAGCAGAGGGGTAAAGTTTGACACAAACTGGAGTCTGCCATCAACACACTTTTACACCATAATCACTCCAATCAGTGGTGTTTATAATGGTGCTTATTGCCTCGATAAACATTGTATTTCAGTAGCAGGATTCCATGTATTTGCCATCAACCTATAGTGTCTGATGTTGACTAGAGATGGACAGCCATGCTCTAGTCTACAAGTAAGAGTGTTTGAAGTCAAATCCTGGAATGTAGAAATGTCAAAATGTCACAGCCTAATTATATGTCCTTTAGCGTGACTCATCATCAGAATGTGTTGTGCAAGATACATACACCCTTTGTGCAAAATAAAACACATTGCACCATAGCTCTTCATAACCCACAATGTTAGAACACTAGAGCAGTTGTCATGGAAACCAATAGAATACTGCAGCTGTTTGGTTTATTTTAAGCATTTTTTTTCCCCCAGAATTGCTCTTTCCAGATATTGTTGTCTACGCTGTACTTAACGGTCTAAGCATTAATCCTTGCACTGACCATTTACTGAGGACCTATCCTTCCTACCTATTACAATGAAGAATGTTTCCTAGGAGATACTACCATGACGAACTTAAGCGGAGAGCGTTCTAAATATCCTTCCAAGCTTGAGAACAGTGTTGTTAATCCAGCTGATTGAAACATTAACATTTAAGGCAGGAACGTGAAGAAATCTCAAAAGACCCAACTCTAGTACAGTTTGCACCTATATACACTGAAACTGGCTTAACATTTCAAGCCTGACACAAGTCAGTCCCTTAAGTTACTTGCCACCGGAGGCCTGGAGGGTAAGCAAGGCAAAGGGCCACATGTTAACCCCTTCATGATAGCTGACATGGTAGCAGTGATTTATCTCACTTTTGTCATATAAGGGTTAATAGATCCCTTCCTGGCAGGAACAAAACTGTAAATGTCAACATGCCACACACCCTGCTTTAATGTCCAGATTAACCTTTCTCGCACGAAAGGACTCTTTGCATGCATTCCTTCTGGCATAGGAGGGGTGAAAAGTAAGACTATTTAGAGACTGGGTGCACCAAGCATATTAAAAACTTATAGCAAAAACAAACAAACATGATGGCATGTCATGCATGTGGGGGCATCATAGGTCACATGTACTTTCATTTCCATAGCCTATCTTAAGACTCTTATATGGAGAGTGCTTGTAAATTGAAGTGTTTTCCTTACACTTATCTCAGCTGCACTTTTGCAAGATAAGAAGAACACACAGTGATATCAGCAAAAGGCTGCCAGAGGAATCAAACCCTCCCAAGTGTGAACAGACTGGCTCTAGAAAACCTTTACCCTGTAGCAAAGAAAATCTTCTGACTTTTAACCACACTGAATCATCTGGCCACCATGTGTCCTCGTTGGTTCTGCATGCTCTATTTAAAGACAATCCTCTTCCTGTGTCCCCCGCATGTTACATTGTGACTCACCATCAGCCAAGCTCTCTGCTTCTCCTGGGGTTTCCCCCTCAGTTTTGGACAGATTATATTTTTGAGATCAGGGATGAGGTCATCCATCACCAGGTTACAAAGGACCTGCACAAAAAAAAATAAACCATTCTGTTAGTACTAACTTAATGGTGAACAGGTTTCCAGGATGGCGTACAGAGACTCTAGAACAGGGGTAGACAACCTACAGCGTTCTAGATGAGGACAACATCTCCAGCAGCTGTAATGCTGTCAAAGCATCAGGGGAGATGTAGTCCACAACAACTTGAGTACTGAAGGTTTCCTACCACTGACCTAGAATCTGTAATATTCCAGGTTCATCATGGGTTTTTTTTTTTCTGGACACATCCAATTTCTTCATACTGATGGACTACAAATGAAGAGTGCTTCCCTGTATCATGAAGCAATCATATGCTGCAGGAGGGAAATCAAGTTAAGCCAGGCAGTTCTTCTGGGAATCCTCCTTGATTGGTAATCTGATTTCCCTCTCGTAGCACATGAATGCTACATACTGCAAGGAAACCCTATTGATTTACAGCCTATCGGAATTAAGAAGGTATGCATAAAGATAAAGGCTCCTATGTGATTGTTTTTCTCCAATCTGCCTTGGACTACATTCCTGACTTTGTGCACAGTTCTTTCTACTGTTGTCGTGGAAACCATGGCAGTTTTGGCAACCCTAGATGGGGTAGCTCTTAGAGAGAGAGAAAATGCTGACCTGCACTTGGTTACCGCACAGCATGTCCCAAGTCCCATACTGATCCCGTGCTTGTCTGTAAAGTCGCACCGAGTCGGTAAATGCCGCTGATTCCACCCGAGGTTCCTCCGGGATGCCTAGAATGCAGATAGAATGTTTTTATCTTCAAGTGTGCACTTTTACCACTTAGTAACAATCTGTCCTCTGTAACACTTTCCACTTTGTTTGGTAGCTGTGCTCGGCGGTTTCAACACACAGCACACCATGTGCGTGTATGCGGATATGCCCATATTTGCACACATATGCCGAGGCCCATTTGCCGTTCATGCCTCACACGGATTGCTCCTAGGACTCTGCTGCTAGGCAACACACAGTCTGATGTAAAAATATATGAAATCTGGAGCCGTGTGAGTAAATAAGTGCGGCATTTAGATTTCAGATAACAAGCTGCCAGATTTTGTCTATTTATCAAATCCCAGCTCTGGGAACAAAGTCTAAGGCTGATGATTATTATTAACCCTTCGTATTGTCCATGTTCTCTCTGCCATTGCATTGTATGTAATGGTCTAGTGAGGCTATAGTTAATCAGATTACCCGATGAGGAGTCACCTACTATACAGTCAGCTACAAAAATATGGATAAATTATACTGTTCCTTGGAGACCCTCCAATTACTTGTTGTGCCAATGTTCCCACAAGTGCCCTGGCAAGGCCCACTCTATTCCAGTGCCAGGGCACTGTTACTGTACCATCTGGAGAGAATGAAGAGGATTCCACTTAAACAAGGAATACGTATAATAAATGCATCCAGAAAGTAGCAGCAATATTAATACAGACGTTCAGGATACATTTTATGTGTCGGAGTTAAAAGGGACACCTGGTAACCATCTCCATTCACATCACAAATCTCCCTTTAAAAAGAAACGTTTAGTTTCCCCTCCTACACTTTTCATGCAGACAGGGATTTTGCAATAAAAACTGTTGCAGGTGTGCGCCATACAAGTGAAATTGTGTGTGTCTAGGTGTAGGTGTGGACCTGGCTGTCTGAGGAGCGTACGGGAGGACAAAAGGGATATGCAGAGAAAAGGTAATAAGTAGGGAGACGACAGAGTGCAGTGAAAGCATGATTGTAATAGGAGACAAGACGGGTAGAAAGTAGGATAGGGGATTAAACAGGAAGTAAATAAAGTCCTATACCTTTGAATAGCAACACAAAAACACGAACAGAGACTACAGGTAAGCGGAATTTCCTGCTCCCTCCCTAGAGCCAATTACCCCTTTTGTTTTTGTTTTGTTTTGTTTTTGTTTGACATTTCATTACTGCATGCTATTTCTCTGGCACATTACTCACCATAACATTACTGTCCTGCTTCCTCCCTAGTACTCTACTCATAATAACAGCATGCCTGCATCGTCCCTGGAACCTTGGCCAACAAGTCACTATATTTTGCTGCATGCTTACTACCTGGTGCTCTGCTCAACATACCCTCAAAGCATGATCATCCCAAGATACTTCGTTCATGGTATCAGTGTTGCCTACTACCGCCCTAATCACACCTCCAGCTATCTCCCCGATAGTCTGCTCACCGTAATCACACCTCCAGCTATCTCCCAATACTCTGCTCACCGTAATCACACCTCCAGCTATCTCCCAGATACTCTGCTCACCGTAATCACACCTCCAGCTATCTCCCAGATACTCTACTCACAGTAATCACACCTCCAGCTATCTCCCAGATACTCTACTCACAGTAATCACACCTCCAGCTATCTCCCAGATACTCTGCTCACCGTAATCACACCTCCAGCTATTTCCCAGATACTCTGCTCACCGTAATCACACCTCCAGCTATCTCCCAATACTCTGCTCACCGTAATCACACCTCCAGCTATCTCCCAGATACTCTGCTCACCGTAATCACACCTCCAGCTATCTCCCAGATACTCTACTCACAGTAATCACACCTCCAGCTATCTCCCTGATAGCATACTCACTGTAATCACACCTGCTCCTAGTACTCCGTTTACTATAACAGCACATACATCTACCTCTCTGGCAGTCAGCTCTGCACTCTGGCCTAGTACTTTGTTTGCCAAATCCCCAATGCATGTTCCTGCCTAAACGTTCTGCTTGCCCTGCTGGCTCTCTGATGTGCTCACCATCATTGCAATGGCGGACGCAGTCTTGAAAAACGGCGCTCCACCTCTCCTGCTCCCGCTCGTTCATTACACAGAACTGATAATGCTGGCAATATGGGTGCCACAGGATCACCGGGTACTGAGTCGCACATTTCATCTGTCCACTGCCTGCCTTCACTTTTCCACCTGGACAAAAAAAAAAAAGGCATTACGTTTATGGAACATTACGAACTCATAAAAAGAAAAAAAAATAGCCAACACAAATATTATACCCACACACCTGGGACACTGGCATTTAGCAATTCAGCATATTGATCCAAGGATGTCAGCACTCTGTACCCAGCACAGTTAATGCCAGCTCTTGGCTGCAGACCACGCTCGTACGCCTGTTACAGAAAGAAATGAGGGGTGAGTTATATCTTTGCTGCAATTACAGCCACCCCTATTAAATGTTGTGTGTCAGACTCACAATCTTGTTCTCGTATAGCACTGGGCCATAATGATGAGGAACAAGACAGAAGCGGTTCCTCCATTTCTTGGTGTCATCCAGGTACTGGAAAAGGTTACCGGAAAATATTACCCGGTCTTTTAGAGGAATCTAAGGAAAATGGTTAAAAATAAATAAACCAAATTATTACAAAAGAAAGAGACAAATAGGATTCATAAAACGTTGGTTCATTGTGGAGAAGAGTATAAATATGTACTTGTTCCACGGTCTCCAATTAACCCGTAATTGTCCAATAAATGATCCACCATTTAAAATGTCCTTCACTATGCCCCAGTAAATGGATGATCATCTCCAACTCTTGATCAACTCTCTCCTCCACCTCTTTATTGTCTATAGTCTACTATCCCAACACCCGTCTTTTAGTTCATCTGTAACTCACAAAGCTCACTACCCTGTATTCCCTGTCCCTAGGTTTGTCTCCTGTCTATAACCAACCATCATTACGACCCCACACATCACAATGTGATAAAGATATACCCGGGCTTCTCCCAATCTGCCTCCGTGGACTGCAAAGGTCAATATGTAGATTATAGTCTACCTTTCGATGCAGCAGTTGCGTCTGAGGACCACCGTTGCCTTCAATCTCATAGCGCACACTATTGAAAAGTGCGACTCCATATTGTTCCTCGTATATCTTCCCGAATTCTGTCAGCAGTTTTCCTGCACGTTCTGAAAGACACACACAAAAAAAAAAGGATGAGATCAGACACCAATTATTTACCATCCAAGAAGTTAAAAAAGGACATTACCCACAACTCATTAATGTGTCAAGTCTCTTCAGACAGCTACAGGACACAACGAGGATCTTGCTCTTCCCACACCACCTTATAAATTGTGCTACAGGCCGTTCACAAATTATACATATAGGGGTCTTTTCTATAAGTCTCTTCAGTTCAGACCCATATGTGCATAAAATAGTAATGTAACTTACAAACTAAGAAAGTGGCAACTCTATAGGGTTTAATGCAACTCCTTCTTTAGGCTAGCAAATCGACACAATTGTAGTCCTAAAACAGAAGTGGACCTAGGTTTTAGCCATCCCCGCTCTAAGCTTAACAAGCATGTGATCAGGAAAAACAACTGCTTTTCTTCCCAGCAGAACTCCAAACTAGGCAGTCATAAAAAAAACACGTTATTTCTTTGACCACAATCGCTGCTGCCAATAACACCAGACATTCCATAGACAGGTGGATAATTAATGATTCAACGCAACTGGGAAGCAAACTCAGAGAATACAGAGTTATGCTGACTTCAGTTGTCAGATTATTTCCCCTAATCCTGCTTTGAAACGCAGCCTGCAATGATTCAGTGAAATGGTAAGAAAATTTTGAACTGGATATGGGATGCAGGTCCCCCCTATTCTTATGGTAGTGATGGACATGATTCACTGCTAGAAAACCAAAGACAAATCACAGTGAATGAAAATCGGTGCCAAGTCAGAGAAAAAATAAGTATGTTAAGTGGTCACAGAGTTGAGCATTACTGAATTTAGGGACATCAGACCTCCTTACTCATGGTTCCTCTACATCAGTTATGGCTAATACTTGTTGCCAAGTCTGTTTGTTTTACAATTTTGCATGATGGTCGTGCAATCTTCTGGGAAATGTGGTCCACAACAACCGTTGTGCCAAAATTTGCCATTGCAACCTACATGGATATAAGTTCTTAAAATGGCATTAGCGCTTAGTGAAGAAAAGGGAGGGGAAAAAAATATCACATGAGATTTAAGTAGTAAAAGCAGGAGGAAATCTGACTTCAAGGCTTGAAAAACCACAGTCACCACTTTCATAGAAGCTTCAGGCGTTATACTATGCAAATCGTTGTGACGTCGCTTGCCGTTTCTAATTTAGGTCTCAAGTTAATAATCTTTCTAATTGATTCAATACTGTTAGATAAAAGTTCCAAGTGATCTATCTATAAAAATTCACAGAGACTTTAATGAAGATTTCTGCAGATAAATCATATGGTAGAGTTTTCTAACAGTATCAAAACATTTGAAAAGCTTATTAAATTAAGTCGTTCGTTAGAGTTCATGCATGTAATCAACTATATTTAATCCTTCAGTTAAACTAGCCTACAAATTTTCCAGTTCTCCTGTCCGAAGTAAACAAAGATAAAAACATTTTTTTAAAAAAATTAAACTTCACTAACTGCACAATCTAACCTTACGAGTTAACCCTATATATGCCATTGATTTAATGCTCCGAAGTTGACCGGGTTATTTAGCATGGTCACACAGTGCATGGATGGTGATTTTAATCTTTAACTGGGATACTCTCCAAATTATAGCCAATTTATATCATTTAAGTTATGGTGCCTGGGGTTCCCTCTGCCATCTCATGGTTCAGTGTTAAACCATTTTCACACGCTTTAACACTGACGCTTATTTACTAAAAAGTGAGAATTGCCAGGAATTCAAAATGAGTTTAAAATTTAAAGGGAATACTCCGTACATTTAAAGCATTTTAGCTTGGTGAAGTGCCCCAAGGTAGGAAGCGTGTGGCCTCTTTTCCCTACCTGCTGCAGGATCCGCACTGCCGCAGCAGTCTAACCCAACAACCACATTGGGACATGGACAACATACAGCTGTTTTACCCTGCGGAGTCACAGGATGTCGGCAGGTGCTAATCTGATTGCGGCTGTCACCTGAAGTTACTGGGACTAAAAACCTCCTGATCATAGGCTCTACTGGGTGCCTTCTGTATACTTATTATTTGGCTGCATTTTCATAATTGTATTGTTTTGCAAAGGTTCCTTTTGGGACCTACTATTGCCTGACTCTCCTACTGCAGTTTACTAACTTTCTTTGTAACAGAGTGCCTACCTGAGGGTTTATACGTCACTTTGTGTCAAACACAATATTTAAACTAATTTTACATTTAGATTTTTTTAATTTATGTATTTATTTTTAGTGTTGTCTTAGTCTAACGGCATAGTTCATGGATAGTCATAGTACCCCTAATTTGGCGGTTAGACTGTGTATATGTGCTAATTATACAGTTTCCTCATATAACTAATTGTGCTACAGCTATTCTTTTATTCAACAAAATTAGTTTTCTATGTGCCAGTTGGATTTGACATTTATTGTATACGATTTTTATCGTTATGTAGCTGCATGCTGGTACTATTAAGCGTTTGTAACATGCTATCATCTCAATAAAAAATATAAAATTACAAAAACAAACAAAAAAAATAATACAGGTTGATTCATCACACAAAAAATACCGCTAAAAATAATTACATTTTTAAAATCTGGCTAAAGACTTTGTTTACAAAACAGAGGATTGTGGTTTACACCGTACCCAATTATGTGTAGCAAAACAAAACAGATTTTTACAAATGCTGCAATTTCAGTCGGAATTCTGCAATGCAGCTGCCAATTTATCACAGTTCTGTATTAGCCACACCACCGAAGTCCTACAGTTTAGAAGGGTGTTGTGTCATTTAGGGACTAGCATGTTCCAGACTTAGGTATTTCCCACAATCCTTTGCAAGATTGTTTGGCCACTTTGCGATCTAACACCGATGTGCGAGAAGATTATGATCTTATGAGCTTGTTTTTTGCCTTACAAATAGACCCCTTATGTCTTTTAGCTAGTGGTTACCCACTTTAATGGATCTTTGATAACTTTACACAGAACACTCATTGTCCATTTAGTGCTTCTCAACCGTTCTTCTCTCATTTGAAATAAACACAAACATGATTATATAATCTTATTTTGACTGTAAAATTCTCAGAAGCCGGACATAGTATATCTATGTATTCTACACACACTTGTACTACAGGTGAAACCATGGCAGATTACACTATTTTACAGAAAATACATATACATATTAAATGCCACTCTCCAAAAGCACAGCGATTCAGGATTATGTAATACGGTTTTAGACTTTCTGTACCGTGTACCTTTTTCACTTTGTTTTGTGAACAGAGAACCAGTATCTGCTGGCGCTATAAGCCTATCTGCGGTGCCTGATCCGAAGCTTTGGACCATCAGAGGAAGTGAAACGGTAAAACAGACACCATCATCCAGGGTTTGGTGTTAAACCTTTAACCGTTAACGGTTTGTGTCCTCCTCGCACTATAACAACTTAATTGTGATGAAGTTATGGTGCCCAAAGTGTCCCTTTAAATCTGACACTATTACATCTCTCAAACAGCAATTGTGACTTTGGTAAAGAGTACAATGTCATACCTGTTGGAATAAGTTCTATAAAATTGCTTAATAAGCACTCGCCTAGTAAACGTCGCCTTACAAGACAATAGGTAATTACATTATACAAAGGAATATTACTCGTTAAAGATGAAAACACTTTCTGTAGACGAATACGGCTTCATTGTTTGATAGAATTACTAGATACAGTCTAATTCCGCTTCTGTCCCAACCATGTCAAAAACCAAACCAGTCTTTGGATTCTGCGGGTGGAGATAAAGATGAAGTCACAATCCCTGGGAGGCAGAGGTCTCAAACTGCATGGGAAAGCCAAAATCAGTTCTGCAATCGAGCAGGTGAAAAGTATGGATGGTGCTCTGTAGTCTTTTAAAGGATCCCCTGAGCACAGTGACAATTCAGCATCATTGCAAAAGTTATTATTTTTAAGTAATCTTTTTTTCTACATTCCTGTATGTATTTCAGAAAATGTGTTTTTCTTGGTTCTGACTAGTCTATTATTAAGAGATTCCGAGTTACAAAACTTCCCAAGATTTAATACTCCTCATCACTTCGCTATGTTCAAACTTTAGTGATAGATTAGTCATCTTGAAAATTGTGTCACTTCCCCAAAAAATAATTCTGTGTACTGTACAAAGAGATTATTGATTTGTCTTGGGAGAGGATTTGAAGGTTATACAAGTCATCTCATCACAGTGTTCCTCTTTCGCATAGGTACAGTCGACAGTCATTGCTAAGCAATCTGATAAACACCACTGACGAAAGAAGGAATTCCTAGTACTACCAAGACTCACCCCAAACCCACTGTGGGAAGAGACTACAGAAAAGGTTCTAACATTCCCCAACCACTGATTGTACAAATTAACTGATTGTAGGGCAGGGACGTTGCTAGCTTACAGAAACACCTGGGGCTTGAGGCCAATAACATAATTAAATGCATGTATGTTTTCATTGGGGGTATATCACCTAAACGGCGATTTCATTTATTTATTTTTACTTGGGTAGTGTAGTGTCCCAGGATTAAAATCCCTACATCTCCACACAAACCTTATCAAAATATGCACGCAGAAATGTCAATGCAAAACAAAAAACTAAAATAAATACATTAAATAACATGTTGCATTGTTAGGTATCCCATACAAATTTTCCTTGTAACACTACTTAAATGTAAAAGACAGGAGCACTATACTTCTGATTTTTATTTATTTATGCTGCCTGATGTAAAAAAAATAAATAAAAAAAATAAATCCTCCTGCCCTTTTACCACCTCTCGAGATCCAGGACTTAAAGCAATACTATATGATCAGAAACACAAACATTTATTCCGGACCCTACAGTGTTAAAACCACCATCTAGACCCCCTTGATCCCCTCTCATCACCCAAATATAGTAAAATCTTACTTTTATTCAAGTCTGCAGCTGCTGCCTCTCTGCCCCTGATCTGCATGCTTGCTTGACATAATCAGATGTAATTTTTTTGAGCCAATCACAATATTTTCCCATTGGATAGGCTGAGACTGTCAAGGAGGCAGATCAGGCAGAGCCAGCACAAGATTTAAAAAAAAAAAAAAAAACAAACAAAAAAAAAAGTCCTATCAGCATCTCCTCATAGAGATGCATTGAATAAATACAGCTCTATGAGTAAAGTTCAGTATCTCCAAGCAGAGGGTGTGCAGTACTGCCCCAGGAAGCACCTCTAGCACATCTGAGAAGTGGCCAGTGGAGGTATCCCTAGGCTGTAATGTAAATACTGCATTTTCTCTGAAAATACAGTGTTTACAGCAAAAAGCCAGAAGGTAATGATTCTACTCACCAGAACAAATTAAATAAGCTGTAGTTGTTCTGGTGACTAGTGTCCCTTTAACCCCTTAAGGATTCCCTTTTATTCCAGAAGTTTGGTCCTTAAGGGGTTAAGAATCATACATATGGTGCTTCACCCCCAAAGTCCCCCTTGCAAAAATGGAAGGAGAGTTCCAATACAATGGCTACAAGGTAAGTAAAGATGGGTGTTTGAAATAAACCATAACATTTTTATAAATTATATTATTACAGTGGGAAAACACAGTCTGTATAAACCTACACTACAACAACCACTAGGTGGAAAGAAAACAGTTGGCATTGAAGATTTGCAGTGCAGAGACTAAATGTGTTTAAACACATCATCCCACCTTCTGCACATACTAACATGTCAACGGTACAGATCTAATGTTCCGTAATTAAAAGTATATATTACATGAAATGAATAGCAATGAGGGGCATTTACAAAGTAAATGTACACAGTCTAAAGTATTAGAACAAGAGTGGGCAATGGCCGACAGTTATCGGACAAATACAGAAGGAAATAAAATGAAGTAAAGGATACTTTGTTAGCGACTGACTTAAAAGACATCATGTTGGCTGCAATCTTTTTTTTAAACTCCCCAAACCATGTAAGATCCAACAAGGTTACTGTTGCACAGTAAGATATATAGAGACTTGAAATTGTGGTAAACATCCCCCGTAGGGGGAGGGAACGGTTTCCGAACGTTGTATACCATCTGTTCATTTAAAGCATTTTTATTTAAAGAAGAAAAAAAATAAGGTTAAAGATTTGAAATGAAATGAAATTTAAAAAAACAACAACACATTTTTCATAGTAAAATCATTTTTCATGGTTTAACTGCTCATGAAAGAGCAGATTATTTCTCAGTACGTCCAGTCCAGGGAAGATCAAGAAGAGAGGTCCGGTATAAAAAAAAAAAAAAAAAAGTTTAACAATAATTCATAATAAGAAACAAGTAGAAAATTCACACATTTATTCTTCTAATGTCCAAAACAGATGACTGCAGAGGTCCTCAGAGAGCAAGGAATGGGTTCCGCAACCTCCAAGATTTCATTTTGGACCTCTAAGACATAAGATACCTAGAAGCATTTCACGTTTCATTATATTGGTACTTTTCGGGAGAATCAGCTCTCTGCGAACGATGCAGGTTTTTAACTCCTTTAATACGTACACAATACACTATGCACTATATTAGTTGCACATTATTTTATGTAATTTTGTTCCAGCACACAGAGACAAAACTCTGCTCATTCTAGCCAGATAAGCAACTACAAGTTTAGAAGATTTAGTATTAATTCCCATGTGTGGGAGAATACAAACACTAGCAAGTCTATATTTGTGCACAACAACATATATTTTATTTGTTTCGATAGTGTTGGGAATTGCAGACCAACAGTAGCTGTAGAGCTAATGCTATATAGGTCTTGCCTCAAAATAATATGTTACTTAAGGGCCATAGGCATTATCTCAGTCCTGCGCGTAAAATTATTATGCTTTGATTGTCCCTGCAAATTGAGCCATGGCAGCTTAAAGGGACACTATAGTCACCAGCGTGTTTTATTTGTTCTGGTAGAATCCTTCCTTTCAGGTTTTGTGCAGTAAACACTGTGTTCTCAGAGAAAATGCAGTGCTTACATTACATCCTAGGGATAACTCCACTGGCCACTCAGATGGCTACTAGAGGTGCTTCCGGTGGCAGTGCTGCACACTGTGCAGTACTGACATTCTGTGTCTCCATCCTCTGCATGGAGACACTGAATTTTCCTCATAGAGATGCACTGATTTAATGGATCTCTAGGAGGAGATGCTGATTTGCCAGGACTGTGTTTGGCTTGTGCTGGCTCTGCCCCTGATCTGCCTCCTTAACAGTCTCAGCCAATCCAATGGGAAAGCTGAGAGAATACCTTCTGAGGATATCAGCCAAGCAGGCAGATCAGAGGTAGAGCTAGCAGCAGACTGGAATAAAAGGTATGATTTTTTTAAAAACTATATTTATGGGTAAGATGGAGATTTTAACACTATAGGGTCATGAATACATGTTTGTGTTCCTGACCCTATAGTGTTCCTTTAACAATGTTGGAGTAGACCATTATGGGTCCATGAGGGTTAATGGTGGGTGTTCACGGAGAATCTGTAAAGCTCCAATAGATTACAGAGAGTCTGATGAAGCAAGGCAGCATTTTACATAGTTACTCCCTAAAATGTGACTTGTCAGGAATAAAAACTAAATATCAAATTTCAGGCTAAAATAGTCTACCTAAGAACAGTTCTGATAAAGAGATTTTTTCCTATTTGGCTATTCTGGTGTAAAATTTGAATTCCCAATTCCTCACACTCTAGTGAATAACTCTGTTAAAGAGTGGGCAGGTTAGGAGAGAGAGGAAATGAAGATATACAGGGAAGTGAAATTTGTGGATATGTAATTAAAAAAAATAAAAAAATAAAAATAAAAGAGTTTGACGTGGGAACATAAAAGGCACTGTAGGTTTGAGTCGGAGCTTGGCATTTGCACAAAGCAATGGAAGGGGCAGTGAGTCAGCTGATGCTGAAGAATTGAAAAGGAAGGGGAGTTTGGCAGCATCATGAAAGAAACGGAAAATGATATTTAGATATTACGTAAAAATGAGTCAACGCCAAATATGGATTAAGCTGAATCGTTTTATTAGGATAGTATATGTCATTTTTCAAAAACACATCATGACGTTCCTGGCTCCAACTCATTCGCAAACCACGCACCAGAGCCTGGCTGTCAGACGTTCCTGCTGACTGGAGTAAGCATGGTCAGTTTATCAGTCCACTTTGGCTGGAATCAATTTGTGGGACTGTGGTCCGAAGCTGTGTGCAGAGATGCGCACCGGCCCAGGCAGGGTGCCAGACGTAGAGCCTCTGAGCCTGGTTTACTGCCATTGGGCAGTTCCTCCAGCTGCAGTGGATGGTGCTGGCCCCCAAGCTGATTCAGGTTTTGTGGTCTTCCCAGTCGACGCGCCCGCTTTGTCTCATGGGACTGCCGGTATGCCCAGTCTCTGGAAGAAAGGCTCCGGATCCTCTGCTGAAGTGAGTGTAAGGTACCTGTCTCCGAGCACAGTCTCCCAGCGGTATTTTAGCGAATGGTCTTGCAGCCTCCTCGCTACTGGAGCCAGCCTCCTTTTCTCTGCTAGGACCATGAATGGTCCCCATAAATCGCCAGCGTGGTTCCTTCGTACCGTATGGTTAAAAGAACCCTGGAGCGGTTCGTGGCTCTCACTGCTATAGCTCTGGTGGGTGCTGCAGCGGATTATCACACACTGAATGCAGAGGTTATCTGTGGGGGTTCTGTACATCCCTTAACTCCCATAGGAGGTAATCAGACACTGGGTTTATTGCAGTAGTTTATCGTTTCCTACTGATTCTGGGATGCCCCTTATACGAATATTACGGCGTCTGTGCCTTGTCTCCAACTAGGTCACTGTGCGGCTCAATTGCTGAACCTGAGTGGTAAGTCCCTCAATTAGACTCTTGGCTTCTCGGATTTGATTTACTCTGGTAGCCTCTCTCTCCTCTGCTGCTCTCACCTTATGGTGAATCACACCTATTTCGGTTTGGGCTTTTAGTAGGTCCGCCTTCCAGACCTTCCTCAAGTCTATTAGGAGTGGTTTTAGGTCTCCTTTCGTCGAATGGGAAGAATCTTCTTCAGATTCGGAAGATTGCATCATGTCCCGGAGAGTCAGCAGGCTCCTCTCCCCTGGGAGTCCTCCGAAGCTTCCGGGTTGCTGTGGGCCTCCGGCGCCATCTTGGTAAGTTGCCCCGGTGTAGGCCTCTTGAAGGAGAGTCTTATATCTTGCAATCTGGGGGCTTCTGGGCACTGAGACTGTTTTTGCACCCCATCGTGTCTCTTGCGGGCTGCAGGGGTCTCTTTGCTGGTTTTGCTCGTATATATGTGGATTTTGTTGCTATTTCGTGGGGCCTGAACAGAGCTCCATGGAAAGACGTCTGGTGCAGTTAGTAGCTGGCCACCAATATTTGCCCACTTAACCAGAGTGTTTTTGGATCTCTTTAGTGGACAAAAGTTTCAGAGAAAGAATTTAAAACGTCCTTCAAATAAATTCCAGCTTTAATATAACATTATTTCCACTGCTACTGAGCAGAAATAGCAGGTTTATTTTCAGCTCTGTTTGCTTTATATTATTTTTAAAATCCAAATTTAGTTCTAGCAGGTTTTTGCTGCATTCTACCTCTGGGTGTGGACTCAATGGAGCCAGTTCCCAGCCTTGTGACTGTAGCACAATAGGCCTGTTATAATGCAAGAGTTACGTAATTTTGTTTTAATTGGTGATTTAGCAAATTTAACCCATATGTTGTATGTCACAATGGGTGTGAGCGCTTCTAGTGCCAGTTGCAGGCACATGGGAGACTTGGCATGCCTGTGACACCTTCTAAAAAGTGGTAAAAGGGCAGGAGTCTTCGATGGAATGTGCCTGTTGGTTTCCATGGTGACTGCTCCACTTTTAGTATTTTGCACCCTTATTCAGAAGATAAAATACTGATAAATCATCACACTAATTGTTTCTATGTATTAACATGCCATGTTATTTAGATGACAGCCATGATGGTATTTAGAAACTAAATGCAGTCAGGTCTGACATCATTCTCAGCATCACATTGTTATCATACCATAATTGTCCATTATGTACACGATCGGTTCTCGTCATTGTGCAAATGTTAATAGCAGCCACTGGAAAGAATCCAAAAACCAGCAGGTCCAGTCAGCAAACAGGACATAGGAGACCGTGCTGCTATACCAAATTAACCCCTAGATCATGGAGAGTAGATTGGACATTGCTAAAGGAACCATTGCTTTGTAGTCCTACCTCCCCAGCAATTCCTTTGTGTTTCTGTGAAGAGTGAATACAATCGTTTGATTGCTTAATATGCACATCCATAGCATTTAGTCCCCTAAGATTTAGAGATATAAATCCAAATATACATACAGTGGCTTAAAGGGATGATTAGGAAATAAAATTAATTGCTGTATTAGATCATCAGGGCTGTAAAAATAATAACATTATGACAACCCGTACAGAGAACAAACTATAGTCTATTCAATGATAATTTCAACAAAGCTGTTTTCTTGGCACTGCCTACAGTGCCCCCCTCCCTCGTGCCACCACGTCCGCATGGCTGAAGTGGTTAAAACCCCTTCAGTCACTCACCTGAATCCAGAGCTGAGTTAGGCCCTGCCCACGCTCCTTCCCACCGACGTCAGCCGGCGGGGGGAGACCTAATGTGCATGTGCGATTAGTATCTCCCTATAGGAAAGCATTAATCAATGCTTTCCTATGAGGAAACTCTGACGCTGGAAGTCCTCATGCAGAGCGTGAGGGCGTCCAGCATCAGATAACAGACCCAAGGTCCGTTTGGATTCCGAAAGTCCCTCTACTGGCTGTCTGGTAGACAGAAACTGCAATAAATACCACTGTTGGGTTAAGGGACATGGGACATTGCACCCAGACCACTTCAATCAGCTGAAGTGGTCTGAGTGCCTACACTGTCCCTTTGATGTCTTGAGTTGTGAATACATTGAAACCTAGGGGTTTGCATTAACACGCGAGGGGGCGACGGGGGGGAGATTTTTGAAAGGTATGTTTTGTTTTATATGAAAAAAACTTAGAAAAAATGTGATGTATCTGATTAGCTCTACATTGAGAAAAGCAGAATAGCAGCACTTAACAGTGTATTTTTTTATCCTTTTTATTTTGCCATTTTCTCAGCTAAATATATTCACTTTTATAAAAACATAGTTTATTTTTTCTGTGTGAATTAGTTTTTTATCTAAATGTCTAATCCGGCAGCTCTAAAACACATTTAAATCATCTGGTAATTTAGTAAACAGTAGACGTGGGAATTTCCAACACTGAAGATAACACAAAACATTATAGACATTCCCATAAACAAGATGACAGCTAGTCTTATGAATCCCTTGGCGAAATATACACCACTTCTGACTTTTAAAGATAAATACGCCCTACAAACCAAGTATGTGTATGTTTAATCTTAGCAAGGAATGTGTTCGTTATGTGAGGTCATTGCTGCTTAACATACCAAGTTCCAAAGATAGCATGTAATCTCTTATTTAATTTAAAGGGAAAATAACTTTGAGAAATGGCCTCTACTGGCGATGATCTGATCCAATGCTTCTCATAGAGGAGTACTGGGACCTAATGCGCATGCGTGGGGAGCATACAAGTTTCCCCATAAGAACGCATGGCATTCAAGGCTTTCCTATGAGCAATCGAATCATGTGATAGAGTTTTGCAAGGAAGCATTGGGAGGCTGGTGCGCAGGTACAGCAATTGCCTTGCTACGCCAATCAGCATCAGCTGGTGCGCATGTACAGCAATTGCCTTGCTACGCCAGTCAGAGCAGCATTGACTTGTGGGAAGCATTCAATAGCTCCAATGTGAGCGTGGAGAACACCTAATGTTGGTATATTTGCAGGGCCTCAGCCAGGCAGTCCCTCTAGTGGCTGTCAAGAGTAACAACCACTATTAGTGGCGTTAATATAAAGACTGCCTTTTTATTTATTTATTAGAAAAAAGGCAGTGTTTGCATTGCCGAGCCTGCAGATACAGGCTCTTTGCCCCAGAACTACTACATTAAGCTATAGTGGTTCTGGTGCCTAGAGTGTTTCTTTAAGTTTACATCTTGAAAGAGCATTCATGTCTTACAGTAAACCGGTCATGACAGATTCAATATAAGTGAACTCTTTCCCTTAGGCAAAGATGTTATCACTTATCATAGAAATAAATTGTTAGCTCGTTTGAGCAGGTTCCTCATCAACCTGTTCCTGTAACATTTTGCAATGGTCTCATTTATTGTTAACATTTCCTCCTTTTAGAATGTTGTAAAGCACTGTGGAATGCGTTGGATCTATATAAATGCCAATAATATTAAAATACATATAATTTAATTTATTTTTTAAAATATTATTCCTGCTTATCTATTAACTTAGTCTACTGAGACACCCACCTCCAGTCCTGCCTGCATCCCATTCACGATTTAATAATAACTGGAACTATTTGGGGGCACTTCACTCAAACAATTCAACCCTCCCTAATGACAATGCCATTTGAAACAGAGTTACATAAGTCACACTTCATACAGTCCTCTGGCAAGCATGAAAAGCACTCGCTAGGAGGCAACAGCAGTAATCACAATGCATACACTGCCAAAGAGCAGGAGAACCCCCTGTAGGTGGAGTTCTCCTGCTCTCACGTGTTAGTCAACAGTCATCAGATTTGTAGGACTTTAAATTGGGTTCTAGCAAGTGAAGTAGTCGTTAAATTATTTACTAAATTAGCCAAAAACACATTTGACCATCAACTTTTTAAACTATCTTTTAATAACGCATACAAAAATTTTAACATCTTAGCGTAGGGTGTTTAGGGAAGTGATCCTTAAAAAGGTTGTGTCCTGATTACTGTGCAATTGCAGGTCTAAACATCCCTCCAGTTTAATTTTTACAGGCTGTTTTGTTATGATGTAGCATCATTACATCATTGGCTCATAAAAGGTTACATTTCTCTAACGTGACATTTCTGCAGACATTTCAGCAGAGACTACAAAAATAATAAATTAAAGGGAAACATAACTTGTTGGGGACGTGTCAACCAAATGATTGACACTTCTGTACAATGTTTTGGGGGGGGTTGCCACTTCGCCAAAGAAGACGATAGCTCGGTCCCTAGTGGTCCAGCATTGAATGTGTTCAGAAAGCAGTTAGATATATCCAATTCTAGACTGTGGGAGCTTACCTTATATACTCGAGTATAAGTCGAGTTTTTCAGCACATTTTTTGTGCTGAAAAACCCCCACTCGACTTATATTCGAGTTAATGTCTGTATTATGGCAACTTACATTGCCATAATACAGACAAGGACCGCCGGGCTAATTACAAGCCCGGTGGTCCTGTTGGAGGCTAGCAGAGAGCTGTAACTTACCTTTCCTGCAGCTCCCTTTTCTCTCCTCCGGTCAGCTCCCCTGTCAGCTCCACTGTAAATCTCGCGAGAGCCGCGGGGAAAGCTCCACGCGGCCGCAAGAATTACAGTGGAGGAGAAGGAAGCTGACCGGCCCGGAGGAGAGAGAAAGGAGCTGCAGGAAAGGTAAGTAACAGCTTGCTGCCAGCCCCCCTCCTACACAGTGCACACCACTGTACCACCAGGGAATGAGAGCCCCCTCCCTGGCCAGCTAACAAGCAGGGAGGGGGGACGAAAAAAAATATAAATAAAAAATTTAATAACATTAAAATAAAATAAAAATATTAATAATAATTTAAAAAAATTTATAAAAATGCCCACCCCCCCACCAAGGCTCTGCATTACATACACACTCTGCACTCATACACACACTGCATTCATACAAACACACTGGATTATATACACACACACACACACACACACACTGCATTCATTGTATACACACACACTGTAAATAAATATTCAATTAATATAATTTTTGGGGGTCTAATTTTATTTAGAAATTTACCAGTAGCTTCTGCATTTCCCACCCTTATACTCGAGTCAATACGTTTTCCCAGTTTTTGGGGGTAAAATTAGGGGTCTCGACTTATACTCGCATATATACGGTAAATCCAGAGACACAGAATTAAAAACAAAAACTATATAGAGCTACCAATTAACAAACACCCACAGGAAAGCAGCACATCAACATGTTAGATTGTGGTTAAATTTAAATTATATTTAGAAATATTATTGTGAATCTTCCTCTTTACAAGGCTAGTAGCAGGAGAAGAAAGGAAAAACAAAACAAAACAAAAAGAAAAAAAATCTAAGATACACACACAAAAAAAATCATTTTTTGAGCATTTACCAGACGTAGACATGTTTAGTAAAATGTCACAGTCAGACAGTTATCCCCGACCTCCCCCCACTCCCATTATTGTTAGCCCTTCCTATTTTGATAGACTAAGTTTTCCTCACAATGTTACCATTTCCATTGCTTTTGATGTCTCTCACCTTCTCTTGTATTGTTCTTTTTCAAAAAAAAAAATAAAGCACCCAACAATTTACATTTCCCCCTCTCCCCATTTTTTTTTTTTTTTACATCTCATGGTCACACATTGCTGCTTTTAGTTTTCGATCCTGAAACCTTCCATATTACAACTCTTCAGTACAAGACTAGCATTCGTTGGTGGAGTCAGATCTAGTATTAGCTACATACTCCTTGTTGAGTCAGACCACCCACGTTTTCAAAAGAGCACTTTATTGACCTGAAGGAGGACGACAATGGGGGAATGTACCTGAAGCATTGACAGGATAGTTTCTACCTATGTCCTTGATAAATAGGTTGTTAAATTATGTTTAATATCCAGTCTTTGCAATAAAGTAAAAAAAAAAAAAAAAGATACTAAGTCACACGTAGCGTAGCACTACCCAAGTCTTTCACTTTCAAGATTAAATTATAGACCTTGAGTTGAACGTGATCAGCTGCCCAGGATTCCAAAAATTGTATTCACTATATTTGAACCACAGAAAATGCCAACTAATGCCAAGGTCTTGGGTAAAAAATTACCTTGCCCGGTGACCTACAGATTCTGACATGCAATCTGAGACACAACAGGAATGCAGGGAGATTGTAAACACGAAATAAACAGAAGGGCTTTTATGGTATGGACTGATATGGTTTGCTAAATAAAATTATCTGTACGTTAACAATGGATTATCTAAATCCAAACTTTCGGTGGCGAATTTGTCCACACTCTTTATATTTACAGACATACTGTGTCAACAATTTAACAAAAATTTAGAAATTTTAAAGCAGTTCGCCAAAAACAAAAAAAAAAAAAAAAAAACACACACACACACACACACACACACACACCGGTAACATCTGATTGCATATTGTCCAGAGTCAGGAAGAAGGTTTGTATAATTAACCCTCCTACAACCCCAGTCTTCTAGAAGCTGGTCATCTTGTAACTCTTGCAAAATACGTTTGACTATAAAATGTCCAAAAAGACTCGATAGGCACACACTGCACATTAATACTAAAAAGACGTCTATTCCCATTAACGGACACAGTGAGTGATGGCAGGTAAACAGAAGCCACATACAGCAAGTGAAACCTGGTTAAAGTTTTGCCAATTGACAAGTTTTCCCCAAACATTGTCACATACGTAAGATGTATATCGTTTGATTGCTCTTGAAGAACTCATAGGTTACTGTGCCGATTTAAAGTTGCTCATTTGCAGCAATTTCCAAGGACCTGCTCGCTCCTCCACGGTTTCCCCCAAATCATCCAGGCAGTTCCTGAAATCCGGTGCCCAAATCCTGGTCCTCCTATTGGTTTCAATGCTAGCACAGTGTGATTTTTATATGATGGACTCCTACCATCGCAAAAGCTTGTTCCCCAGATGTTTTGTCATTCTAAATGCTGGCAAAGCATCATGGAAGTTCACGGAAGTGTAGGGGTCTCCATTAGATTAATTTTTAGGTGCGACAATCATAATTTGCTTTGCAGGAGTTTATGGGAATGCTTCCAAATGTACTTTTCCTGGTTCTACTTTGAAGCGTTTTGCAATGGTGGAAGAAGATTTAGCATATTTCGAAGAAGGAGAAAATTAACAGTTGACACTATGCCAAAACTGAAAAGTCATAATGATATAATCAGATGCATTCTTGAAATGTAATGCCTGGAGAGTCCCTCTAAGCAAATGAGGATGAAAGTCATCTTGCCATCCTAGTTTATTTTGCTCCGACTCTTATTCAAGAAAACAAATACGTTTATAATTTTAGCACTGGAATTTTTTTTTTTTATATAATTTTGTAAAAATCACTTGCCAGTCTATAACTAAAATAAATTCTTGGATCTCTGCCAATAAGGAAGTAGCGTGGGAGAGAACAGGAAATGTTTTTTCAAGTGAAATTCTTTTCCTTTTCTTCTCCCCATTTTTCTCCACACACCTGTCACACGCCATCCTCTCAGTTAGAGTTGCACTTGCAGTCCTGGAGATTCACTTCCTGTCATGTGCGCTGAAATATGAAAAGGCAGGATACTGCACGTGTGGAGGAGGTCAGGCTGGAGGCGGCAGCCAACCTATAACAGTGTCGCACTCCCAACACAACTATTTAATTTGATGGACAAAAGGTGCATCAGTGCTTGCGGAGCAGGCAGGAAAGTGGTAGGAAATGGCCATCGTTATATTGGATTAATGTTTCTGAACTATGAAAAACATAGAATAAGAAAATAAATTGACATAATAATTTGTGTTGTATATTTTTAGGAGTAGTACCATGCGTTCCATATCCAACATCATCATAAGACCATTCAAGGTCACAATAAAAAAAAAAAAAAAAGCTTAAGAAGCAGTGCACTAAGCAACTTCACAAGTTGACTGGTGGATCCAGAGAACATATGGACTAAATCAGAAGACCGAGAGGAGAGCTCTACAAGTGTGACACAGATGTATCCTAAAATTACATCACAAAAATATGTTATCCCTAGTTTGTGTATCATTATATCTATTGCCTCTGTTGTAGTCTAAGCCTTCAAGTCTTCAAATTAGGCACCATATTGAAGAGGCAGATGCCATACAGCCTACTGAGAATAACAAAATCCATATGGGTCGCAATCTGTGATCCTTCTAAAGAAAATTATCCACAGCTGGGGATAAAGTCAGGTTAGGTCTGCAGTTACAGTCAAACAAGGCAAAGACGACATCAGCTTGCCACACTGTACAAAAGCAATGTTTTTCATCCAATCCCCCCCCCCAACTAAGTATTCATGTCAACCTTTTCGCTCATATGAAAACGATTTCCCATCAAACTCCTCAAACCTGGAAAATTAAAGAAGCATGGACTTACCCATTGATGTAAGAAATTGACGGCTAAAATTGGAACACGATGTGTAAACTATAATTCCTAACACCCAGTCTTTAGACTTAAAGGGTTATCCTAAGCTCCATGACCACTTCTGCCTTTAGAAGGGGCCAAGGAGCAAGGAATCCGTATGTGCAGCTTATAAGCTTTTTGTTTTGAGCTGCCTAATGTCCATTCTGTGCTAAAATGTCTGTCCTCAGTGCGCATTGCGTGCTGGAGACAGTTGTTATGAGCGTCTACCCATGCTGTTAGTGCGCCTGCAAAAGTAAGCTTCAGTGTTTTCTCCATCCTTGCATTTACCGTATATATATATCTTTTTTTTTTTTTTTATTTAATTTAAAACCCACCCCTTGTCCACCACCACCTCGGAACGTGCACACGCGCTCTAAGCCAGAGAAGAAGGTCCAAACATATGCTTCTCTATGAGAAGCATTTCATTGAAACTTGGAGCGACACAGCTTGACGACAGACGGGGTGTAAAAACGAACAAGTAGTATCTCACCTGGTGCTGGATTCAGGTTTTTTTTTTTACTATTTAAAGGGATTTTTCTTAAAATAAATAAATCAATCAAAAGGGGTGGACATAGTTAACAGAGTTCAATAGGTTATTATACAGTAAGATAAAGATGAGAAATAAAAAATGTATAAATAAATAAATATTTGTGGTTCCAACATGTGGGGTGCCATCGACTCCTAACTGTTGCCAACAAGTACAATCAGGGTTACACATACCACAGAATGAAAAGCTGATGGCCCGTTCAGTCTGTCCATTCCCTGCCTAAAAACACAGGATTTATTCCTGGTTTCAAATTCCAGTTGTGCTCCGGATCATAGTGGGTAGGGCGATGAAAAAAAATTGATGAGTTAAATGTCTTTCCAATGTCAAGAAAGAAAAAAAAAAAAGAAAGACAGGTGCAACCCCCAAGGTTTTCTAAATTACTGACAGCACATTCTGGTTAAGATATTGGGTGAGTTGATGGCTTAAGAGCCTAGCCCACAGAAAATACCTTAATCTCTATATGACAAAAAAAGCTGCAAAAATGTACCTTGATGCTTGGCAGTCAGGGTGGGGGTTGTAAAATATTAGGCAATTGGGAAATAAAGGTAAAACCCAGTAAAAACATATAGCAATTATTTTAAAGTGGTTTGATTGTTAACGCCGCACACATAAATCCACTGAATTTTGAAGGCAGGTTTTATTTTTTTTTAGTTTTTAGAGTCAGGAAACAGGTAAGACGTAAAGATTTATATAAAATAAAAGTTGCCGTTGGCTGTAAACTAAGACCACAGCTCTGTGGGTGCAATGCGCCTGGATCTGGCGAAGTAAAATCTGAGAAATCTCTTGACAGCCAAATGTTAAAAGAACACTATAGTGTTAGGAATACGTTTTATTCCAAGTGGCAATTAAAGGGTTAAAAAGTCCCTTTGCACCCTCTGTCTCCACTCCTCTGAAGTCTATGCAGAGGAGAAACCGAATGTGCAGCGAATGCCACGTGCGAGTTAGGCCTTGGATTGGGTGATTTGAAGACTTGATGTGCTCCTGCAAAGCGTGTTGTTTCACCTAGTTAAACTCTTTGAAACAGCTGGAAGCGCATCTAGTGGCTGTCTGGTTAATCCAGTTTCTCTGAAACTGCAGTTACAATGCAGGGCTGAGGGGACAATGACAGTGCACCCAGACCACTCATTGAGAAGTGGTCTGGGAGCCTATAGTGTCCCTTTACATTACACCTGGCTTGCCAAATATGACTTGGTGTCACTTTATAAAGAATAGAAATATTTTACACATTTTGCTAGCCAAATCACAAGCACATACACAGAAAAAAAATCACTAAGCACAAAAATAACACGGCATCATTGAATAGGTAATTGACCATACAGTGCCTGGTCTTCCTGTCTAGAATACCATATAACTGTGGCGATTTGCAAACATCTCTGTGCCTTTTTTTTTATTGCCAACTTGATCAGTGACGTCTCAGGGGGGCATTTTTGCTTTTTCCTTGCTGTCTAACTTGCGCGTCCTCTACCCTCCTGACTCCAACTCTAGAGAGAGTCTGAGATTGTTGCACAGTCTGTTTCAGCTGGTTGTGAATGGGCTCTTACCATATTATTAAAATATTACTAACCATATTATTAATATATTACTAGGCAACCCTAACTCCTAGCATCTGCTCACGTAACTAGGAATTGTGCAAGAAAAGATAAATATATTGTTTTAGATTTCAATTTTCTTGCTGACTGATTTGACCTGCACAATATATGTATTAAATGAATATCTAATTATTACGTTGTTGGTAGGTTCACCTTGAAATCCAATGTTTGGATCTTTAAAAACGAGATCTTGCCAAAATCAAAAGGTGACTCCTTGTCAATACATTATAATGGACAAACCCAAAAAGCTACATCCTTAACGTTTTCTATCATGGCACAGCATAACAAATTAATATAAAGTTTACAGATTACAGTGACAGATGCAGATAGCCCATGTGTTACAATGAAGTGTTGGAATGAACAGGACACTGGCAGATTCTGTATTCTACGGACAATCATTAATTTTGAACATTTATGTGTCAGCTACACTCATATGATCTGCATGTTTATAAACTGCCGGATAGATAGGAGTTCCTTCTTTCTGTGCGTGTGATACCCAAGAAAGATTCTGCGGTGAGAGAAGTGAATGATGCAGGAAGAGGGTGGATTGTATTAAGTGATTCACCAACACCCCCTATCTGACTCACCAAGACATCTGCTCCCAATCCCATGATCAGCCTATGAGCAGGGGCAGCAGATTAGATATAAAACATGGATACACGTCGTTTGTCAAGCAATGCAAAAGTACGATGGCTTTGTGCTACACAGTTCTGCTACTGTGCAAAGCAAAATACGCAGCATGCTCGGTGCACAAACAGGAATAAACCACACGCAGCGACTTGCGTGCATGCCAACTATATTTATACTTGGTAGCGACAGGACCAGTTTCTTAACTTCTATAAAACCACAGTATGATATAGAACAGACAACCACTTCAAACGGCTTGTGGTTTTAGGGCCTGCCTTTGTGCTGCCATCAGTGGCACTATCAAGTTGTTATTTTTTAATATTCTTCTTGCACTGTGTCAGTCTCTTTCAAGATCCACAGTTTAGCCAAATTTCTGTCCTTTGTTGCCGATCGAATGCACATGTGCCAGAAACCTAGTAAGCATTTAGTTTTACGCAGTGCAGAGGCAGAGTCGTTCATTTCTGTCGGTCAGTGGGGTGCATCAGAGCTGAGCATACCACTGCCATCAATGTGGTGTGTGCCATGTGCTTAGTTTTGCCATTGTTGGCCAATGGGAGGCAGAGAGTCCTCAGTGTCAGTCAGTGAAAGGACGAGAATATGAGTAACAGTGAGTTAGTAGGTGGTCGTTCCTTAGTATGTGTAACTGTTAGCCAGTGGTAAGCCGAGAGTAGCACATATAACTCCTAACACATGTGAGTCCGAGCTACATATATTTAAAAACTTTTAGTCTCCTTTGCTGGCATGAGCCAACACCTCCAGACAAACCTTCTGGCTAATCATAGGCCTCGTCCGGCAGACACAGCTAGAATCACTCGAGGCAAGAATAAGAATTGACTTGTAGTTTATTGGTTAACACTTTTCTATAATTAGCTTTCACCGAAAATTCACATACACAGACCTAGCATACTTACACTTACAGACCGCTGTCAGGATACACAAGTGCAGTGTATACATTAGATACACCTACGGCGTAGGGCGAGTGAGGCTAGCGGACCGAAAGCATAATCCTGTGTTTGACAGTCCAGGCCAAAGCTTGGAAAAATCACTAGTTCATTACAGGTAAAGATGTGTGCAGAGCGTGTGGGTGGAGGGCTATCTGGAGGGCAGCTAAAAAGGAATGCAAAAAATGTTAGCAAATGGAAAAGGTCAAGGTAAAAAAATAACTTAGTGTGGAGAATACTTACACTAAAATCTGTTTATTTACTTAACATCTCTCATATAGCACCGCTATTCAGGGTGCTTCACACAACACTGGTGCTTATGTAGTTAGCCGAGAGCACATAAAATATTGGAAAGTACAATTTAGACTAGTTTCATGGTAGCGACCTGCAGAAGGATGAGTTGATGTCCCAGTGCAGGGCCAGCTTTTTCGTGTTTATGTCCTCTGCTTGTATGTCTATTGAAAAACGCGCATGCACAGCCTTACCATGTTACAAGTGATACGGTGGGAAGTTATGCAAGGTGACGCTGTCACAAAGAGACAGACAATACAATGCAGATCAGGCCTGTCCATCTACCCACTCAGACTACCAGGGATTCAAAGTTAGACTGGAAGTGAGAACGTGTTGCAGTAGAAGGAGTTAGAAATTAGGATGAGCAGTATTATAGAAAGTCACCAGGAGGAAGCAGGGGTGAGATGAGGGTGTGTAGATTACGAGAAAGCTGTGTGTTCGCTTTCGAGAGAACCTTTTTGTTATTTACCAGCTTTTTATTTTATTTTATTTTATATTATATCTCCCTCTTATTTTGTTTTACACTAAGTCAGGAGGGTGTTGTGCAGATCGTTTTCACTATTGCAAGATTTAGAAGGTCTGCCCCCCACCTCCCTTTTTTGGTGGCATTAACCTCTGACTTTAGGCTGCTACATGCTGCTTCATATTACTTGAAACTGTAGCAAGGTTTCTGTAACGAATTTTGTGGTTAGAATTGCATGACATTTTTTGATACATTGCATACTGTGATTTAGGTCTGATTTTTAGAGATATATTAATCCTGAATAGATCTACATTGATTGTGGGAATATATTTATTGAGCTGTTCTTATTAAGCCGATTTTTATTATTAAAAAGGTATATATTTTTTTATACATTTTATCTACTTCCTCCCATTTCATTTATGTATTTGGAGCACACATACAATTATTTGAAGTTTTGAATCTCAGGAGATAAAGTCGCTCTTTTTATGTATGTTGCTGCCCACTTTATTTAGAATTTTGGTCATCGCTTCACATTTATACATATATGAAAAGTTGGAAAATAGAGCACTGAGATTAAAAGTCAATAAAGTTTTCTGAATAGATTTATTAGATTACGGTATATATTGTGTATTTGTTAATGTGGTATAATAGAGTACTGAGAAAGGACAAAGAAGAAAGAATTGAAGTTGTCAGGCCAGTAAAACAGGCGATAAGCATACCTCCCAACATTACTGGATTTGACAGTACAGTCCTGAAAATGTGTACTCTTGTCTTGACATCCCAACTCCCCAATAGCAACAAGTGGGATTATCATAACACTATGCCACCGCGCAAACGGAAGAGCGCTGTGCTGGATGTATTTGCGATTCCGCTCACTGCGTAGCAATCATCATTTTCCGTTTAATACATGTATATATGTCTGTGTACCAGTGTTTATTCAGCTCTGTCACATGTGAGAATTTGTACTCCTTGCAGAAGCTTCCGTATGAAGAGGAGGCGGCGACTGGCAACCCTAAATATTCTCAAACAGTTTGACTGCTTACCCTGGCAGAGTTTAGGGCACTCCTGCCACCATAACCACTACAGGAGGCTGTAGTTGTTATATTACTTGAAATGTTTTTTAAAATTCCAATAATTTTTTTTTTAAATGCGGTCATTGCATGCAAATTCAGTTAACTCACTGCACATGTTTATACGCCACTACAAAAGCAATAACTAAGAATACATTTACTTGCACAGCATTTCTCTGTAGATGCCTGAGAGCGCATGAGCACATTGAAGGCATCATAGGGCGGCGGCGAAATCATTCTTGAATCGGGAGTACTTCTGAGGTAAGTGCTTTTACTACATTATTTACTATAAGATTTTAGCAGTCTCCATAGAAACCAATGGAATATTGCTACTAAGTGATCCAAATACAGCACGTTGCACCAGAATCGATATTATTTGTGTGTGTGTAGAGGTGTCAACTACATCTACTAGCACTAAAAGGGTTATCACTGGCTCTGCCGTTTCCAGCTAGTGTTTTAATAAACAGTGGACTGTCTATTACTGCAATGAATACATTCCTTCAGTACAGAGCCCAGATAGGCAGAACGTTCTCTCTAAAGAAAGAATAGAAGGAAAATCCAATCCTTTCTCTAGCACTTCACTAGCCAGAGGTGGCAAATCCATCCTGGGCAATTGTAGGGTGCAGTCCACCAAGCACAAAGGTGCGGCTGAGGCCTGCATTTTGCTGCAAGGCACTGCTCAGTGACTCCTCTGGTGTCCATGGAAACCTGAAGTATGCGATAGATTCCTTCAGAGCTTCTGTTAACCCCTTAAGGACGGAGGCAATTGTCCGAGTTCTGAATCCGAAACAAAACCTGGAATTTGAGCCCTATGTCTGTTCAACTATAATTTACCTCTTTCGTATTAAGAGTACCCACACTTATTATGTGTCATTTTGTTCAGGAGAAACAGGGCTTTCGCTTCACATCATATATTTATATATGAAACATGATTTTAAATGAATAAAATCTACAAAAGTGCAAGAAATTAAATGTTATTTTCTTAGTTCTGCGTGGCATTTTAACTGTGAATATAATTAGCTATTACTGCAATAAAACACACATATTTGTATTCACGAGTACTACAGTACCCCCCCATGTATAGATTTTATGGGGTTTCGGAAATTACAGGGTCAAATATAGGGCTTTCCCCATTTCAGTTCTTGCACATTGAAATTTGCAAGATTGGTTCTGTTGTCTTTGAGACCATATGGCAGCCCAAGAATGAAAATCACCCCCCATCATGGCATACCATTTGCAAAAGTAGACAAAATGTGCCACGTCCAGTCTTTTTTAGTAATCATTTAGTCACAAACCCTGGATAAAACCATCAGAATAAGAGTGACTAGTAGAGGAGCATCCCAGTTTTTAATCAAAAATCAAATCTACTGGCATAAGGACTACGGATACATGTGTGCTCCAAAAAAAAAAATGTGTCATGAGTATATCTGCAGTGTCCGTTCTTCTCTTTATTGAAGAGTGGAAATGCAGCTGGATTTGAAGAGGGCATGAAATCTCATGGGGTTAAATGACTAGAGCCCCACAAGTTAGGGGAGCAGCGCCCCAACATCTTCAAACTTCATCACCATTCTGCAAACATCCCCTTGGAAATTCTCCATTATTCAAATAAATTCTCTTTTTATGCAAGGTAACCTCCAGTGTTTTAACAGAATTCCAAAACAGCCCTCAAGAATAAAATAGTTTTTATTCTCAATACCGGTATCACGGTCGTCGTTTTTCATTATTTCTGGGAGGTCATCAAAACGTTACACAATTATGACATCGGAGTTCTGAATTTCTGAAGGTCGGCACATTTGTACCATCTAAGCCGCCTACAGAATCAGAATGTTAAACTTTGATTCACAAATAATGAAGTGAAAATGCAGTGTCTCTAAACTTCACAAGCAATAAATATTTCTCTGAGACCAACAAAGGAGAAAGCACAGCAAAAAACTACCAGGCAACGTGCAATAGCAATCCATAAGAGACCAAACTACCATCTCTGTAAGGTCATATCATGCACCCTCTCTACATTATGTAAACCAGAGGAAAAGAGATCCCCACCACCACTACTTATTAGCAACACAATGGCAAGGCTGTGAGCCCCCTAAAGGCTTCTGCAACTCCACAGTACTGTACTACCTTCCAACAAGGTGACACTAGCACATCAAGTCACCTGTTTCAGCAGAAACAACGTCAGCACTGCTAACAGGTTTTAGAGGTCAATATGTGACGAACAGCTCATGTGTTTGCTATGTGAGTCCTTGTACATTGTTCTGCAGCAACGTTAAATAAATGCCTATGCACTGCAGTCAAATGTGATTAGACAGGCTTCTTAAGAACTGGGCTGTTCTCTAAACATTCTAGAACTTAGTTTCTCTGCTTGTAGGGACATACGGTATATTCCGATGGGTAGTTCTGGATAGCATGGGGGTAGTTGAAAAAAAGATTGCAATTTCATAATGTTACCGCTTCTGACAGAATCTCATTACGAGTACGTGTTGAGTGAAATGTTGATATTAGAGAGGCTCGCAGAATGAAAGGGCCAGATTAGGGACACACGGCCAAAAAAAAAAGAATTATAAAAAAAAAAAGTCTTGTTACGTGTTTTTACTGAAAAATCATGCACTACACTAAAATAAAATCAAACTAGGCCCAGAGGAGGCGGGCTGAAAGCTAGCCGGATAGGAGGCATGTGTGGGTGTGGTGGGTGTGGTGGAAGTATGGGTGTGTGATTTAGCTAAGGAGTAGGGTGGGGTCATATAAATAGGTGACATTTTGTCTGCTACCTCAGCCATCTTAAATTTAACGGCAAGGTAACTAGTCCCCTGTGCTAGCCCGTAGTTACTTTGCTTACCTCACGGCCAGGAGCATGGATATTGAAGGCATCCTTGCTGCCCTTAGGGCTGAGGCCCTCCAGGACGGTGGCAGGCACCTGCAGGCCCAGCTGGCAAGGCTGCAGGGTGCCTCCGTGGTAGCTGCTCCCCCTCCCGGCAGCCATGGAGCTCCGCGCCGCCGGGCGCGTCCCCCCACCCGTTATAGCCCCTCACGGGAGGGCCGGGTGGGGGCCAGAAGTAGGAGCCCAGCTGCCGGTCCGCGGGCCGGTTCCCACGCGGCCGCGGCCGGCGCTGACACCAGGCATTCTCCTGCCTCCTCCCCGAGCCCCTCACAGGAAGGCCGGGTGGGGGCTGGAGGCAGGAGCACAGCTGCCGGTCCGCGGGCCGGTTCCCACGCGGCCGCGGCCGGAGCTGCCATCAGCCATCCTCCTGTCTCCTCCCCGAGCCCCTCGCGAGCAGGCCGGGTAGGGGCTGGAGGCAGGAGTCAGGCTGCCGGTCCGCGGGCCGCTTCCCACGCGGCCGCGGCCGGCGCAGCTATCAGCCATCCTCCTGTCTCCTCCCCGAGCTCCTCGCGAGAGGGCCGGGTGAGGGGCGGGAGTGGGATCCCCAGTGCCGGCACGCGCGCCAGCTCTCATGTGGCCGCGGCCGGCACATCTCTGCAGCCTCTCTCCTCCTCCCCGAGGCGGTCGCGCAGTGCCCGTCTGGCGGCCGCTGCTCGGGGAGGTGACAGCCGCCCAGGACCTCTTACCATCGGCTCGCGGGCCCTCAGAAGGGCGGCCGCGAGCTCCCGGTCGGCTAATCCAGCCCGGCCGGCGCGCCGGGTGCCTGATTTGCGCTCTGCCCCCTCCGGATCTCGGGCAGGGCGCGCACAGGTTGGGCCTGCATCCACCTCTCCTTCCAGGGCGGTAAGTGGGCCGCAGGCCACCGGGGATTTCGGGAGGGGGTTGGGGGGTTCGGGGGGTAGGGGCCCAGCGCCAGGCCCATCTTTCAACTGTCACAGCCCCCCCCCCTTCTCCTTCTCCCCCCTCTGTCTCCCCTGGGCCTGCCTTTCCTGCACTCCCACTACCCTCATCCGTCCAGCCACTCACACTACCCTCATCCGTCCAGCCTACCCACTTGTATTCCCCCCTCCCCCTCCCACCTTTACCTAGGGCCCATGGTAACCCCCCTGGGGCTACCTCAGGCATGGCTATCCCAATCCCTGGTTCCCCTGTCCCACCCTCTGGTGCCCCTGTCCTATCTACTAATTTGCCAGGGTTGACCCCCCTACTGCGCATCTTCCAGCACCTGGGACGGGTGGGTCGGGTTTTTTCTCACCTGTCCTGTCTTCGCAGATTCTTCCAGGTCAGCTCGCTAACCGGGTCCCTGACGCTGTGTCTGGTGCGGTGCTTCCTGCGGTCGCAGTTCCCTCGCAAGTCGCGGTTCCGCTCCTACCCTCCAATTCGGCTCCTGCCGGTGAGTATTCTGCTTTTGCCGGATCAGAATCAGGGGGCGCTGGCGCACGCGAGTCGCAAGAATGGGGTTCGGTGCTCCAAGCGATAAGGAATGCTCTTGTAACTTTTGAGCGGGGATCTCGCCCTGGGGCTCCCCCCCCAACGGCCGTGGATAGCCAGCTTCGGGCGGGCTGGGCTAGTTCCGCAGGATGTGAGGTTGCGGGGGTTGCGGCAGCGTTACCCGACGCTTCTACGCAGGTCACCATCCCTCTGGCTGCGGCGCCTCCGCTAGTAACAGCTGATTCTTCAGCGAGTCCTACGGGGGTCACCGCGGTTGTCTCGGGTTTAGGGGTAGCACCCGCTGCGCATGGGGCAGCGTACATGTGCTGGTCAGGCCCTTTGGGCCTCCATCTGACGCCTGATTTGAGGGCTAAAATAGAAAAAGGAGAATTTGTTGAAATTTTTTCCCTCCTCCCTTTGGAAGATCTTCCTCGGGTGGATGCAGATGCAAAAGAGTCTGAAAAAGACAAAGAGAAGTTTCGGTATCGGAAGATTCCGAAAACTTTTGGTAACTGGATTAGGGCCTTTTCTATCCTAGCTAGCGTGATAGGTGAAAAGACTCCCAGTAAATGCTCTTCCCTATTTTGCTACCAGGACATGATATGGAATGCCTGTCGGGTTTATGGCGGGCTAGGGTGGTGGCGGTATGATGAACAGTTCCGCCAACGTTTGGCGGTTCGCCCTTCCACGAGTTGGGATCAAATGGATATCGGCTTGTGGTTGGCCATCATGACCCGCCCAGCTTCGCATCAAGGGGGCCTTTCGTCCTTTCTTGGGGGGGCCGGCGCTGGGTCCTCATCTTCAGCGTCGGCCACTCAGCGGAGGACTGGGTACTGTTGGCAATATAACGACGGCCAATGTAAGTTCGGTTCCGCCTGCCGCTTCAAGCATGAATGTTCCGGGTGCGGCGGTTCCCACCCAGCATCAAAATGCTTCAAGCGAGGTAGGACCGGCGACAAAGGAGATGCCATGGGCGCTAAGGGCGAGGACGCCGGTGGACGTAGACGCGATGCGCCCTTGGCTAAAGCGTTATAGCAATAAGAAGGCGGCTGCCTTGTTATTGGAGGGTTTTGGACAAGGGTTTTGGATCCCTCACCGGGCCCGGCAGGTCTCCGGCTTCTGCCGGAACCTGAGATCAGTTGCCGATCACCCGGGGGTGGTAAGGGAAAAATTGGCTAAGGAGGTAGCGCTGGGTCGCATGGCGGGCCCCTTTCGAGAGCCTCCACTACTCGATTTGAGGGTTTCACCACTGGGTGTGGTACCCAAAAGGGAACCAGGCAAGTTTAGGCTGATTCACCATTTATCGCATCCTCAAGGGGGCTCGGTGAATGATGACATTGCCGCTGAATTGTGCCGCGTTTCCTACGCGTCCTTTGACGCGGCGGTGGATATGGTCAGGGCTGCTGGCCCCGGGGCACTTATGGCAAAAACGGACATTGAGTCGGCTTTTCGCCTCCTACCGGTTCACCCGGAGTGCCACCACCTCCTGGGTTGTATATTCGAAGGTCATTATTACGTGGACATGTGCCTCCCGATGGGTTGTGCGATATCCTGTTTTTACTTCGAATGTTTTAGTTCCTTCATGGAATGGGTAGTTAGAGCGGAATCCGGTTACGATTCCTTGCTTCACTACCTGGATGACTTTTTCTGTGTTGGCCCTGCGCGCTCCCCGATATGCGCGCACCTCCTGCAAGCAGTAGCGGATGTTGCTTGCGAGTTCGGAGTGCCGCTGGCACCAGAAAAAACAATTGGCCCTTCTACGTGCCTGTGCTTTCTCGGGATCGAGATTGATTCCGTTGTTGGTGAATGTCGGCTTCCATTGGATAAATTGGCTGATCTTCGGGAGGTGGTGCGAGTGGCGACCACTTTGCGAAAAATTACGTTGCAGCGACTTCAATCCCTATTGGGCAAATTGAACTTTGCCTGTCGGATTATGCCGATGGGCAGGGTGTTCAACCGGCGCCTGGCGGCCGCTACGGCTGGGATTTTGAAACCGTCTCACTTCGTCCGCTTGACCAAGGCGCTCAGGGAGGACTTGGCAGTATGGGCAGTCTTTTTGGATGGGTACAACGGCAGGTCCTACTGGCAGCAGCCCGAGGTGACGAACTCGGTGCTGCACCTGTTTACGGATGCCGCGGGGTCTTCGGGCTTTGGGGCTATCATGGGAAGGCAATGGTGTGCGGAGCCCTGGCCCGAATCGTGGTTCACCTCTGGCCTGACCAAGAACATGGCTTTCTTGGAACTCTTCCCCATTGTGGTGGCTATCCATCTTTGGGGGCCAGAGATCAAGAACAGGCGTGTTGTGTTCCACTGTGACAACATGGGCGTTGTACAAGCCATTAATAGGCTAACGGCCTCCTCCCCTCCTGTAGTTCGGCTCTTGCGGCGCTTGGTTTTACAATGTCTGTCTTTTAATGTGACTTGCCGCGCTGTGCATATCCCTGGTGTGGAGAATACCACGGCTGATGCTCTTTCTCGTTTCCACTGGCAGGTGTTTCGTTTGGCCGCGCCGGAAGCGGACACGGAAGGCCTCCCCTGTCCCAGAGACTTATGGTCCCTTGGCCTGAGCGGATAAGGGAATGGATTCGGTCTTCGGTGTCTGAGGCAACTTGGGTTCGGTACGGTAAGGCATGGGGGGACTGGGTTGCTTTGGAACAAGACCTAGGTGGGTTTGATTCGACCTCTGCAAGGGTTCAGGGGATCTTACGGTTGCTCTGGTTCTGGGAGGCTAGCGGGTGTTCTCCGGCTACGGTTTCAGGGAAGCTATCCGGTCTTAGTTTCTGGTTCAACTTGACTAAGGTGCCTGACGTTACCAAGGACTGCATGGTTCGGCTTGCGATGCGCGGCTGGCGCAAGGGCCCACACCTGCGGGATTCTCGGAGGCCGGTTTCTGGCGCTCTGCTAGTAGGCATTGCGTCGGTCTTACCCAGGGTTTGTTTTTCAGATTCGGAGGCACGTTTGTTCCAGTTGGCTTTTACTTTCGCCTTTTTCGGCGCCCTTCGAATCGGTGAGCTTGTGAGCCCTAGCAAACGGATCCCGGGGGGCTTGTTGTTCAACGATGTGTCTGTGGTGTCGGATTCAGTGCGTTTTTTGGTACGAAGGTCCAAAACCGACATCTTCGGCAAAGGGGCATGGGTTACCCTCCGCGCTATTCCGGGTTCGGCTGTCTGCCCTGTCGCATCTTTTCAGTCTTATTGTCTTGGTCGCCCGGACGTTGAGGGCCCTCTACTAATTCATGGGGACGGTTCCTTCCTTTCTCGGTTCCAATTTCTTCGGGTCTTTCGGTTGGCACTCGACCAACTGGGTATTTCGAGTGCAGACTTTGGGGGACATTCTTTTCGAATTGGGGCCGCAACTGAAGCCTCCCGTTTAGGTTTTTCGGACCAGGCCATTCAGAGGATTGGCAGATGGGAATCGGGGAGGTTTCGGTCTTATGTACGGCCCACACGTCTGATCGGTGTCCCCCTTGTGTTTTCTCCACAGGGCCTGGCCGACGGATCTGGTTGATCGGTCATTCGTACATCTACTGGGCTCACCTGCGGGCTGGGGTACGCCCGGGTGGGACACGGCTCGGAATACCTCGGGAGCTGGCGGAGGTCCGGTGGTTCGGGTTCCGGGGCATGAGATGGGGTCAGCTATTACCGGAGGTCGTGCAGTTATCCACTTTATTAGGAGCCCCGGACATCTTGGTGGTGCATCTGGGGGGGAACGATCTGGGGTCCCTGCCTGCGTGGGGGCTGGGGGAACTCATCAGGCGAGATTTGGCGCGCTTGCGTGTGCTTTTTCCACGACTTTGTTTAATATGGTCGGATATCGTTTCTAGGAACTATTGGAAGTGCGCACGCGATCAGGGTGCTATTGAGCGCTGCAGGGTCAAGATTAATAAGCGGGTTTCCAAATTTGTCCTAGGCGTCGGGGGCTTAACAGTGCGACACCGTATTTTTGAGCGCGAGGCAGCAATCTATTTTCGCCCGGACGGGTCCATCTAACTGACGTAGGCTTGGACTTATTTAATTTAGCGCTACAGGACGCGTTGGAACAGGCCATGGCGTTGCTTGGGGGTCGCGCCCGCTGATTTAGGCGTAAATGCAGCTGGGGCTAGTGGCGGGTATGGTCCTTGCCGAACCTATTGGGAAGAGGAGTAAAGAAAAAGAAAGATGCTGGGTCGGGTCCCTCCCCTGACCTCGAAAATGTTTTGGGTATTTGGGCGTGCCCTCCGTGCCAGGAAAGGTGGCCAGGGGTTGGCATGTGGAGTTTGAAGGCCAAAGTGAAGGCCAGGTATCTTGGACGAGGGGGGAGGGCCGATGCCTTGGTGGGGGGTGTACCCTAGAGTTTTGGTGGTACGGTTGGCAAGGACTAGTTTGAAGATAAGCATACTTACACCTAAATTATTTATGGTTGGTTTATTTACAGTTGTTTGTTAATTTATAAATAAAGCTGTGGCCTTTTTTATACCACATATACGTTTCCTAGTTTGATTGGGGGGGAATTGAGCGATTTTGGGGATTGTTATGGTTCACACCACACGATAACCGCTACCTACACACAAGGCCCAGAGGAGGCGGGCTGAAAGCTAGCCGGATAGGAGGCATGTGTGGGTGTGGTGGGTGTGGTGGAAGTATGGGTGTGTGATTTAGCTAAGGAGTAGGGTGGGGTCATATAAATAGGTGACATTTTGTCTGCTACCTCAGCCATCTTAAATTTAACGGCAAGGTAACTAGTCCCCTCCCTCCCTCCCCTGTTTGTTTGCGTTGTTTGTCTGTTTGTCATTAACAATTTTTTCTTGTCACAGCCGGCGGGTATGGTCCTTGCCGAACCTATTGGGAAGAGGAGTAAAGAAAAAGAAAGATGCTGGGTCGGGTCCCTCCCCTGACCTCGAAAATGTTTTGGGTATTTGGGCGTGCCCTCCGTGCCAGGAAAGGTGGCCAGGGGTTGGCATGTGGAGTTTGAAGGCCAAAGTGAAGGCCAGGTATCTTGGACGAGGGGGGAGGGCCGATGCCTTGGTGGGGGGTGTACCCTAGAGTTTTGGTGGTACGGTTGGCAAGGACTAGTTTGAAGATAAGCATACTTACACCTAAATTATTTATGGTTGGTTTATTTACAGTTGTTTGTTAATTTATAAATAAAGCTGTGGCCTTTTTTATACCACATATATACGTTTCCTAGTTTGATTGGGGGGGAATTGAGCGATTTTGGGGATTGTTATGGTTCACACCACACGATAACCGCTACCTACACACATGCACAACACAAGGGACATGTTAACTAGGCGACAACATAAGTAAGAGATGAGCTGACATAAGCAGTACTTACTATAGCAGAGGACTCTAAAAGATTAAAACAAATGCCATTCATGGTAAAATGAACCTATTGTGACTTGTCTCTCCCACAAAATGACAAGAGAATAAATGCCATCACAGACTTCTGTCACAGGCCCAGACCTGTCTCAATTGTCTGAGCGGTCTTAACACCTTCATTACCCGTGTCAAAACGTACACAGTACATAGAAACAAACTGAAATATACCGACTCCACACTAACCTAGGAAATCAGGGAGATCCACTAGATCATTTAAAAACAAACAGTCTGCAATTAACAGAGTTGCTAATTTTAAACAACACAGTCATTCACAATGCGCCAATACTGCTGTACCAATCCCGACCAGCAGTAGCATGCAGAATTTATTAGCAATTTATTATGTTTTAACATAATAGGAGGGTGTGGTGCAGGTAACACCCATATGCAAGGCATTTATGATGCCTAAATACAGGATACGATCTGGTATCACTGCTGTCAGTAGGGTATAAAGAAAATCTGGTATTGTAGACATAATGGGCGGAGGTTGGCATAACAGTTACCCTCACAGTGCCCGCTTCTCTTGATATGTTTATATAGAATGATATATGTAAGGACGACGAGGTTGGCAACATGCAGGTGTACTGTTTTTGGACGAAAGCGACCCAACTGGATTCCTTCTGTAGGCGTGCATTTGTGAGCTGGCAAAGTCACGGACAGTCATGGTACAAGTGGTGAAACAGTTTCTACCATTTTATAAACATCATCAATACTGACGCTAACGGTAATGAAAGATTCTGAAAGGGGAACAGTTAGTTTACAGAATCTTTTATAAACGGTGTTTGGGAGGTCTGCAAATTTAAATAAAATATATTTATCTCTAAACTGGAACCAAGTACCTTCATTTTGGCCCCATACAATGATGGTTATAAGCTCTACATTTTGCACTTACATGGAGAGAGAGAGAAGAACATTTTAGAACATTCTGACAACTTACCTGGGGTCTTGTCAGGTGTCGATCACTACCGCCCTGCTGCCAGAGGCTCCTGCCACCGATCCTGGACACTAAGGGCCGCATTCACAGCCTGAGAGGGTTTGCCGGAGCTTCCAATGGCAGGGAAGGCGGCGACAGGCAACTGGTGGGACCCAGGTAAATTGATCAACTGTTCATAAACGGTTTGACTAATTACTCCTGGCACCATAACCACTACCTTATCCTATAGTGTTCATGGTGCATGGACAGTTCCTTTAATGCTATAACATAGAATGGGTCACAAAACGAATGCCAAGTACACACATAGGGTCCCTGTCAACAGTTTTAAAAGGACACAAACAAATGTGTTTATACTTTTTTAAAACTTTAATTTTTTTATCTGACTGAGCAGCCATGTTGAGTCAGACTCTACTATTATCTAACCAGCTGCTGCTGTTCCCTTACTTCTGATCTATATGATACTGAAACAGCAGGCAAGTTAGGCTGAGCAACAGTTGGTCAGGTTGGGTGATGACCCAACATGGTTTCTCAGCAAAATAAAAAAAGTGGGACATTTTGCACAATTTTCTTTAAAAAAAAAATATATATATATAAAATCGCCCCTCAAGAGTTTATGCAGGACAGCATCAAACTTTGACACTATTTCTGACCCTAGCCAATTCTAATCTTAGCTTACCATTACAAATTATGAGATGATGGCTAGGGGCTCAGATGGATATTATGGGGTAAGAAAATAAAACCAAATATCTGAATAAGAGGGTCCTGATTTCTTTGAAAACACTACAGCTTATAAGAAACTGCACTGTTTACATTTTACAATTTCCACACCTACTAATGGATATCAGACAACCACTAGAAGCTTTGGATTAAGAACACTGAATAACTGCACCTATTTTACAACCATGATAAACACCTTAAAATAGGTTCAGTGTTTCTCAGGATCATTGGACTGGTGGATCACAATGATTGCTGCACAAGTGTAATTGCAATTGTTATTTTTAATACACCCTCCCCCCCTTTAAAAAAAAAAAAAAAAAATGGTGAGCCTATAAATTTAAAACACGTAATACAGTCTCATATTATATGTACATGTATATTTATTTTTATTACAGTGTTCCTTTAAATAAAGCCTGCTTTCTGCATACAGACACATGTGTGAGTACGGGACAGACTGACTTAAGGATGATTTATATACCTGCCCAACTGCATTGAGCCATCTGTAATGTTTGGTGGAGGAGGGGTAGTGGTATGGGGCTGTTTTTCAGGGTTTGGGCTAGGCCCTTACTTCCAGTGAAGAGAAATCTTAAAGCTTCAGCATACAAAAGACATTTTGGACAATGCTATGCTTCCAACTTTGTGGGTACAGTTTGGGGGTGGTCCTTTACTATCCCTACATGATAGTGTCCCAGTGCACATAGCAAGGTCCATAAAGACATGGTTCGATGAGCTTGGTGTGGAAGAACTCAACACCATTATACACCTTTGTGATGAACTGGAACGGAGACTGCGACCCAGGCTTTCTCCTCCAGCATCAGTGGCTGACCTCACAGCGCTCTACTGGATGAATGGCCAAAAATTCCTGCAGAAACACTCCAAAATATTTTGGAAAGGCATAAGAGCTGCATAGGGGACCAACTACATATTAATGTCTGTGATTATTGAATGCAATGCCATAAAAGTCTCTTTTTGCATAATGGTCAGTTGTCCCAATACTTTCGAACATATAGTATATAATATATGCACACACACACGCATGGCAACGCTAGGTGACAGTTAATATATAATCACGTGTTCATTATTGCAGCATACATTATTACTGCAAACAGTCGACACAGGATAGACATGTGAGAAGGCAGTTAAGTGGTGCCCTGTTAGGGAGGGCCTCCGTGCATTGAAGCACTAAATAGGTGTACAATACAATGTTAAAGAAAGTCTTTTTTGTCTCTCCTTTCATCTGTGCATTTGCTATTGTGCATCCTGAATGTAATTCAAACTTTATGAAATGGACACGCACAATATATATATATTAGGTTGCAAGAATCTAGCAACAGTTTTAGGAGACGAACATTATTTTAGAGCCAACAGGTTAGACCCTGAGATACTGACAGTCCAATAAGAAGATACACCGCTGATATTATATTGGTGATTTATCAAAGTGTACTTATACAGCATATGGAAAGAGTTCTGCAATGTTACTGCCTATGCTGGAACACGCAGAGCAAGAATCTTACCCAACCAGCCCAGGAAGAAAACAAATAAACAGAGAGCCAAGATCAGCTCTCCACCCTGAATTCTGTCACCGAGAGATGAAAAGCACACTCTGTGCCAATACCCAGCCAACCACACGCCCGCTCTGTAAAATGACGTCACCCCTCAATTAACACACACCCAACTTACAGGGGGAGAGTGGGGGTAGGTACCATGCTGTCCTGACCAAATATTGCAAGAATTACATAGGCTCATTCTTGGGCTAAAAAGCATTACAATTAATATTCAATTTGACCTTAATCTGAATTCCTGGCAAGTCTAACTTCAGTGGTGTTAGTGAGACCATCTTGGTTCCATACTATAATGACATTGCAGTCTGTAAGAGGAACTTAAAATCCCTCTGAATCACTCTTTGGTTTGTTTGCTACAAACCAGAGCAGGGTATCCCATGATCCAACTGGACAATAACAGTGAGGCTAATCACATAACCCATGCACAGCGCGTACTTCTCAAAGATCCCGATGTCAGTGGGACACCAGGGAACTGTCCCCAAAAACATGTAGAATGATGCGCTTGCACTGTACTCCTGCATAGAGCACGAACACAGTGTTCTGCCCTCAGTGGGATGGCCTGCCTAATTGGAAGGCGACGTGGCATGCCTTTATGCCAGGCTGACCTATTAGTAATTCAGGCAGACCATCCCCCTACCTGGTGGGCATCTTTGCCCCCACCCTACGGCATCCCGTCTTTCAGGAACCCAATGTTGGGGGTTATGACAGTTTATGCTTACAGCCTTTTACTCTGTACACAACGGACATGAGGTGTCTGACTGGTGGCACTCTGGGATTTAGTGCAATGTATGCAATGGAGAATATATGTCAAAGTGCTCTGGAATGTGGTGGTTAAATTCAATCATTATTTTGATCTAAAACGTGATGGGTATATTCATGGGTAAATTTTGCCAGTTTCCACAGAAATGTACATTTCTCAAGACCACCAAATGTACAGTGTTGGAAAAATTGGCAGAAAAATGTATAAAATGGGTACATATTAAATAACGACTTATTATGCAAAAAACAACAAAACATTTTGCCAGACAGATAGAAACATGAAGGCGACTTCCCCAATATTGCAGTATGTCCTGAACTGCTAAATTATACAGCCCAGGAAGATACTTTTCCTTTTGGTTTCCCCTCTCCCATCCACGACATACTGGATTCCCAATTTTCTTATCCTAGTTTTGTCCGACAGGGGGTCTTCCTGTCTCTCTCCCTCTGGCATTATGTAGAGAGATTCCTCTCCTTTAGAATGATGAAGGCAATTGTGTGAAATGGGCCTTATCTACAAACCCTGCTGTGCATTTTGGGCCTAGCGTCATGTGACCTTGGCTATCAGAGCCGGATTAGTTGTTTTTATCACAGCCTCGCCTGTTTCATCCTCGCACATCCCCTTTTTGCCTATATTAAACTATACCGGCATGAATGAATCAAACAAGAAGAAGTACGCAAAACTGACTAGAGGCTTTTAAATTTTAGGCCAAAATAGCACAGGTGGAGAATCTTTTTTTTTTTTTTTACAAATTATTCATTTTGGCTGAAGATTTGTAATTGGCTTTTCAATTATCCACAATGTCCAATGTTTAGAATATACCCTTTGTATTCTCTCAAATTAATTCTCAGCCCTTGTTTACCCCCAAACACTCACGTCAGCACACAGTCAGGTTGAGACAGCTGTATTTATGAAAAACAACAAAGACCAATTACTATGGGCTATGACGCTATTACTACCCGCTAATCGTGTCCACAGACTGATTAAACTTTTTTTTTTTTTTTTAATCACCATTTCAGCTGAACCTGAATGCTATATCACAGTTCTATATAACCCATACCTGCTAAGTGGGACTTCTACTGGTCAACGGTCGTCATTCTCAACGCGCCACAAACCAGTGCAAATGGTCATCAGTTTCACAAAGTACACAGGCAATATATGGCATTCTATAAGTGTTGCCAGTTACGACATCACCACAAAACAAGACTCGTGCGATATGGACCTAGATAGATCCCTTTTGTACGTGTCCTAATCAAGACAGCATTCACAGTGATGTGACTCCTGTATACAGTGATGTGAGTCTGTAGCAACAAATGTTTTTCCATTGCTTTCATTAGAATACTATACCACCCAACACGGCAACGGCCACTTGTCGGAAAATTATTTTAGGTGGTGCTGCTATAAAGGCTGAATTCAACAGTTAAAATATATATTCGATAAATTTTAATTGCTATGGAACTTTTTATACATTCAGCACTCCAAAAATTCTGAGCTCTTTTTAGAAGGAGATATATAGAAAGATCTGTTTAAACCTTCAGACTGACACTTGGGAGGTGCGATCATATGTGAACGTAAGGCAGTGAAAACCCCCCTTCATGCCAGCGTAGGTGAGACACTCATTTCTCTATTTCAACATTCCCTATAATGTTTCCTATATTCCCAGATAAAGGATCCATTAAGTGGCTCAGTTGCATCATAGATCTGCAGCCCATAACTGCTTCATACAAACCTCAATGTGCTCACACATGCAGCTACTGCTTGCAACAGAGCTGTCATTGTGACAAACCCAGAGGGCAGGACCCAATATGTCACCTCCTTCAAATATCTGAAGAACTCACAAAACAAACACAACCAGTTTACACAAAATACAAGAAACAGAATGAATCCTTTCATCTGCAGTGATCAGTCACTAGATATACACAAAGAACCACCTCAATTACGGTACCTGTGAGCAAAGAGTTCTTTTGCAATTGTATTTCTGGAAAGGCCACAAAAACATTACCTATTCAAAAAAAACAACAAGACGTATTTAAAAATATCTTACCACGATTATATATATATATATATATATATATATACACACACACACACATACACACACTGTATCTCTCAGGTTTTCCATTAAACCATTTCCATTTCCATTTCCAAGGAAATGCATCCACAAAAATCTTTTTATTAAATTTACAAAAAAACATTCCAAAATTATATAGAGTAAGGCAGTCTATATTCGTTTACATTTCTGTAGGTGGATTTTATACCATCAAGACACCCGACCTCCAAAGTTCCAGATGAGGAAACCTAGAAAACGGAGGAGAGGACTAAAACACTCGATAACGAACGTGTGCACATACATACTTGTACACGCACCACCTGCAAGAAAACTCCAACAGAGTATGTTTGAAGGTGGATTTAAAACTGTTTCCAAGTCTACATGCTGATCACTCAACAACACAATGTATCCCTCAGGCATTTCTGGATCAGCAAGACTTTCTCTCAGACTATCCCAGTTGTGCAGGAGTGCACATGCATGTCGGCACAAGCCCACTGTATCCCGTATATCCGAAGTGCAGAGGAAATAGGATGTCAGGTTGTGGGAAGGATCTGAGATTTAGACTGAGGCGATTATAATCCTATAAGAGATTATCTAAATAAAATAATCAAATCGAACAAAAGTATGAAATTTTCTATCACTTTACATTTTTGAATGCTGCAGTGGTATGCAAAGCATTCGTACAATAAGAGGGCTAAATCCGGTTAAAGAGCTGCCAAAACTGACCAATAGATAACCGCTGGTCTTCATACCTTCAAAGTGGCCATTTAGGTGACACACTGTATGACAAAATCAGTCTGTAGTTTTCGAAAAATGATTGTGTACACGGTATACAGTAACTGGAAAACCAACCTATGGTGAACCATTTCTGTTACAATTTTAGGGTAAAAAAAAAATATATATGTATATTAAAATGTTTCCCTTTAAAAGATGCGATTTCACATATAACATCCACTTCGTGCTAGGACATTAGCAGACATTGGTCGAAGTGTCCCATGGCTAAACGAGCAAGTTCTAAAATACAGAGCCAGATGGATTTGTATACAAAAAGAAAAACCAGGACGGAAGTATATAAACCGAAATATACATATCCAGAACAAGACAAGACAGATATACACACGCATAAATATATACAGGGTGACACTACAGACACACCAGTGAATGCAAAGATATACCAGACAAGAGATCTTCATAAACAGACATGATGAAGTGTATTTAGCATTATGGACACAGGCTGAATTCAATTGCAATTGCCGCAGTTCACAGCATAGTAAAATAATTGTATTTATTATTAGAATGTTTTTAAGCACAACACTATTACGTTAACTATCTTTTTCCCAAATATGTCATCAATTACTGGTATGTTTACTCATTGTACAGCACTGCATAACCTGTTGGTGCTTTAGAAATAAAATAACCATAGGTGAAACGTGTACACGTATTGATTAAAACAATTGAGTAATTATTGGTGATGTCAGTGTATATAAATATGTAGCAGCTCATGAATCTGTAACTTAGTAGGTAGCTAAACGACATTCAAAAGGTCCCTTGTATGCCATGATTTCATTTAGGGACACTGATTAGAAGGCATATTTCAGGGGATATATTGGATGATATAAAGCCTCAAATTCTGTCTTTTTTTACAGGGGTCCCAGATTTAATATGAGCAGATATTTATGTTTTTTTCCACTAGTGTTTGTTTATACACCCAATGCCAAGTCACTTAAGGAACATAATCTTCTTTAAATACATAAAAAGTATTAATTTGGAGTTTGCTACAAACCCCATGACTTTCAAATTTCAGTTTTTAGAAAAAAAGTTACCTCCCCCTCCCCATCCATACCCTCGGCATTTCCGTCCTCTGCATCCTGCCCTAACCCATGAAAATGTCTGGCTCAACCGCTCCCCCTCCCTCTGAAATCTCTCTGTGACTACGTGGTACATTAAGAAAAGAAAGGAAAAAAAAAGAAAGAAAAAAAAATTAGTCAACTTTCCACTTCTCCAATCCCCTCACACTGAAAGGCATAAGAAATATAGCATTTAGGATTGGAAAAGTTAGGTTTTCATATACAGAAGCATTAAGTCTGTATTACAGCACACAAATGGTATTTAAAAGTCTCCAGCAGATTCCAGGGCGCAGTACAAATATGGAAATTTGCCTGTGAGCACAAGAACAGGTTTAATCACTGTAGGTTTTAAATTTAAGGTACAAATATCAAAAGTGGAAACATTCTCTAAGTCTGCTATGCTTTTCCATTCAGCCATTGATGTGAAAAATCACTTTGATTTCACCTTGAATTCTCAGTATAGTAAATAGCCCTCGGAAGTGCCACAAATTCAAAGGGAATTTTACATTTTAACACAAAATAATCCAACTGAAAAAACACTAAAAAGGTCAACTTCGGTCTAAAATTGACTCTGAATTCCTAACAGTTCATACTTTAACCAATAACCCATTGTGGATAGAATTAGGTGTACTAGAGCTTACTATATAAATCATGACCTCTAAACAGAGCCTCCCCTCAATTAAGTAGCTTAATTATGATAGAAGTTGACATAAATAAGCAAGGGATTATATTCATGATTAGACGGTCACTACTGCAAGGACATAGCAAGGATTACATTTCAATGATTTTTCCAAGATACACCATAGTTTAAACATCGAACTGCAGGGAATTGTAAAACATATTGAAAAATTCAGGCAAATGTAGCCAATCTAGTCAAATTCTCCAACGCACCTATAGTCTGAGTTAAGCTGTCTAAAGGCGCACGCTAAGCATTGTAACCAATACAGTGCGCTGTAATGGTTATGGTGCCAAATGCCCCTAGAACTGTCCCATACTAAGGGGTTAACTGTTTTTTTAAAATGCTGAAACGGTCACGCAATTAGTTATATCCACTTAAAGACAAAATTGATATTGCTTAAAGGGACACTGTGTCGCTGTTCCGCTTATTTCTTTCCAAAATAAGTATTTCATAAACAAAAATCTTTATGAAATACTCACATTGACCGTGTTGGAATTTCACTGGAATTTCAATGCAATCAAATGATAAACAAAATAAGGGGGACTACTTTGTCTCAGTATTTTTCCTCTGCTTGACTAAAGACAGAATGATAACGGAGAGGAAAAATCCACTGTCTGTGGACGATCCCACGGTCTTGATAGATCCTCCATAGACCTTCAGGCATTGTGTGGGTCCTGGAACGCCAACGCACCAGAGCTAAAGAGGACGGGCAGTAGGAGCATGGTAGCAGCAGAGAGGTAAACGTTCATGTAAGTATAACTCACCTTTCACCTGCAACCCTCAAATATCGGACACCCAGCGGCAAAGTCACCCCAGACGGTGACAAATCTGCAATAGAGCAACACTTCAAGCACCATAACCAGTACAGTCCACTGTTGCCTCCCAAAGTAAGTAGTAAAACAGTTTTAAAATTATTTGACGACTTACATGAGCTCCACTAGGCACCCAATACCGCGTCCTCTGTAGCCAGAAGCTTTTTAACCGAGCTAAGCCCGCAGATGCATGGAGGCACTCACTGGCTGATAGTACTCAGTTGATGAACCAACCATGCTCAATGGAGCGAACAGAAGATCTCTGTTTGAGATTCAACTCAGAGAGGTGGTGAAGGATGCACAGAAGACCCTACATAAGTTGTGAAACTGTTCTTAAATATTTTGACTACTTACTGTGAGAGGGCACTAGAACACTTGGGAACAAAAAAAAAACACTATTGCGGGCTGCGGTGGTTATGGTGCTTGGAGTGTTCCTTTTAACAGAACGGGAACTTCCACTTTAGTGATATCCTACACAACCAGCGTGCACCCAGGGGAACCAAGTTAGCCACAAATTGTTGGAAAATGCTTTGACTCCTTATCATGGGACGGCGACAGGGGACTCCTGGCACCATAAACACGACTGCACACTTTAGCGGTTGTAATCCTTACAGTTCACTACTAGCAGTTTTTAATGTAATTATGAGCATTTGTGAAAGTTGCATAGAGTGCATCTGTAGAGCTTCATTATGAGGATAAAACACATGGCTATTTAATAGAATTACTAGGTCAAATTACAGATATTATTTCTATTTATGGGTTCCTCCAGGGTTCAAACCTCCATTCATTCCCTCTCTGTAGGCAAACTGTCTCCAGAATGTGATGGTAATTCTCTGCCAGAATCTCAGGGTAATATAACCCAACAATAAGATAGAACATTTTAATTTTAGGCAAAACAACTCAAGCTTAAAAAAGATTAAATAGTTGAGTTGTAGTATTGTTCTGGTTTGTCTAAACCAGTCTCAGATTTACAATCCCATGTCAATTTACACAGATTTAATAGGAGATAAAATGTTACTGACCAAGTCCATTACATTGTTTTAGAAGGCAACATCATATATCTTAAGTCACATTGTCACAAGATAGATACCAATCAGATATATTTTTTTTAAAGATAACATTGTCTTAGTATTATGCAAACTGTCCTATATGACCCCAAAGTGCACTTAATTTACATATTCTAAGTGACCTTAGGAAAATAACTATAAAAGCAAGATGGCTGCTCCCAGTAGCATGCTTTTGGTATCAATTACAAGAGCAATATGCATTAGTGTCAACTAAAACTACATTTTATTTCAAGGCATTTGAGCACATTTTTCTTTAGAATTTGAAAGACGCCATAATTAGTTTAATGTTTGTTTTTCTAAACAATCTTGCATTCCTCGTAAACTGGTTTATCCTAAAACTTCAGTCTTAACCGCTCTGTAAACTAAAATATCAGTACTACCACAATACAAAAAATTATTGTCTATCTAACCCTTGACATGATTGAGTTAAACCTAAAAAAACTGAACTCTAAAATCAAGGCAAAAAGCGCTAATTTGGAAACATTCTCCGATTTAGCTACAGCCAATACTTTACATAATCCGGAATTAAATACAGTACAAATTTTTATCCACTACAATTTAGTGTTTAGTGTTTTTATGTGACTGTTAATTAAATATTTCAGCATATTCGTACAACATTACTTACATTTCCAAGTGTTTTGTTATTGAGAAGGTTGTACGGTGCTACACAGTATATAGAGCCAGATTCTAAACAATATATTGCCCTTTAATCACCTAACAACACAGAATACAGAACCAGGTAGCCCCACCTTAGAAAACATCACACTCTGAAATAATCTCATTAAGAAATAAAAACAAGATATCGATCTCCGCCGTGGCCAGAATTAGTTGAACTTTTGCTGACCAAGCAGGTAAATAATTCATGCTTTGCGTGCTTATAAGGTCGGACATTATTTAGCTATTCAACAAATTGGAAACTGTATCTTAATTGCTAATATTAGGTCCAAAAGTTTTCTATTTTTTGCCATACTACGGTCAATTCCTGACAATTTCCATATTTAGCTAATAACCATGAACGTTTTCAAAGCAGATTCCGTTCTGAGAGAGTCATCTTTAACTAGGGATTTAATGCAAAGAAGCAAACCATTCTTCAATGGAGAGCTCATTGGCGTTTGGGTATATGAAATGCCAAACAGGTAATACTTCAGGGAAGACAGGAATCAAGATGCCATCAGGCTGGCAAATGGTGGTATGAGCTTACCTGATATATAATTACGCCTGCCCTCATCCAGGTGAGTAGATATAACATCCCCCATGGCCCAGCAATGACAGCGACAGGTCCTGCCTGTATGTGAGACACAGCTGAGAGTAAAACAGCCTGCAGTGTTGAGATCAGAGGGTGTGAGAGAAGGAGGGATTAGAAAGGGATTATGTTAAACAAGGAGGGGTGAAAGAAGAGGGTAGAGCGGGTATAGGAGGAGAGTTGCCATGGAACAGAACTGAGGGAGATGGTATGTAAATGACAGAGATAATAAGACATGTATGGAGACATTGGCAAGAAATGTGTCAGAACAGCAATTAAGAGTACGGACGACAACAAAATATATAAAGAATCTGCACGAAATAGAACAGGAGAAAATACAGAGTTGGGTGGAAACAAGTAGGAGGAGGGGACACGTGGGGAAAAAGGGCTGCTTGGCATCAGCCTGGTTGGCATAACAAAACAAGAATGTGGCATGAGTCATATGGAGATAGACAGGCATCAGTGAAACGCACCCTGTGATTAACCGTTCAGAGTGCAATTAATGTACTGTGCACACTATATAGTGCTCAAAGAGTTAAATGAGTTAGGGAAGGCAGGACTAATAGACCAATGAAGGGGTGTGTGTGTGTGTGTGTGTGAGAAGAATGGGGTTGGCACAGGACCAGAGAGACAGGCTAAGAGCAGTATGTGTCTGACCTCCACACCCAGCCTGTCTCATTCTTTCCTCCTCACAAAATCTCTCCCCCCCCCCCCTTTACATTACAGCTGGAAGTAAATCTGTCTGGGTATACTCAATACTGATATATACAGGCACATCCAGGTTTACACTCAAAAGCTCAATCTGAGTTTTATGACATAGATATAACAGGGAGACTAAGTAATGTCTTAGAGTATTTTAACCCTAATGGTCAGGGTTAGATGTTTATGAATACAATGTTTCAGCTTCATATGTTGCTGCTCAGATATCCTACTAAAAAATAGACAATGAACTGTCTGCTATAAGGGCTCTCATTGCTATAACTGGCCACACATACTGCTATTCACTCAATCTATGCATCACACATATTGCTATTGTTTACTCTACGATGCCCATATCTCAGACAGGGTCACTAATGTAACAATGGGGTATGGCTTTAAATCCACTGCTATCCATACAGAAGGTATTACAAAAATTAACTATTTAAAGAGACAGTACCGTCCCTTTCCTATACAACCCCAAAATTCAAATATAAAACATATACTGTACAACCCATTTCCCCCTGTACACATGTATTACCTTGTGCTACTGGCCTGTCTCTTCCTCTCTCTCGCCCTGAAGCTGTGACACACCCAGCAGTCTCTCCACTTAGCTGTGTGCCCCTCTCTGGTGGCTGACTCGCTCTCTCCCTCGCTCTGTGCCTCCTCCCTCTTGTTGTCACTCCCTCCCAATACTACACCCCACACCCCTCCCTGTTCCTCTCTACAAACACTTTTTTTTTTTTATCATTATTCTCCAAATTTCAAAATTCACCTTGGGGAGCTGCATAAGGTCACCAAACCTTTGAAGTGAGACAAAAATCAACGTATTTAATAATTTTAATAATTTACCCCTGGTGTGCCAACCTGCCTAAAAATAACCCTACAAGTAAGACAATATCCCCAGCACAGTCTAAAAATTGTAAAACATTTAAATTCGTGTTTATGACATTAATCACTGACAAGCTCTAAGGAATGAATTCACTAAACAATGAGTTCAGTTGTGATAACTCATTTTTCCATCTTTAACCTTTTGATCTTAATTCTGTTATTTCACCATAGTTAACTGGTTAGTAGATAAAGCCCTTATAATCCCACCAGGTCATAGGGGTTTATGTACTAAACAGTGAAATGTGGCAAATTGAACACTGAATTGCAACATTTAAATCCACGTTGTCAAAATGGAACGTTTGCTTGAGGTTGGCAAATTTAGCTTTCAAATCACCAAAACCAACACTCCAGCATCACTCTATATCCAGAATGCTAGGGGGTGAATTCACTAAATAGTGAATTGTGATTTTGACATGTGAACCAATGTGCAAATTGTATGTCAGAATTCTGCAAAATGGCATTGAAATCACTGCAACTCGCTGTTTAGCGAATATACCCCAATATGAAATTTCTTCACATATCCATTGCAAAATTTCATCTGAAGCTAAATTTGGCACCTGATATCATAATCACATCTAACGCACAAATGCTCCCCCTGGCTGTCAATGAGTGCATGAGACATAGCTATACTCTCCAATTCTCCATATCATATTCTAGTATTGTTGTCACTTTGCATATTTGAGCAAAGCCTTTAACCAGTTAAACATGTCAGTCAGCATACTGTCACATTAACACTTGTCATGGTTAGCCCTGGCATAAACGCAGAAGAGGGCAGCGAACAATAACGCAGACAACAGATTGCTTAAAAAAGGAGTGCGTAAGAGAGGTGGCTGACGACAACAGATTGCATGATAAAGACTCACAGCTATGACGTTAAAAAAAACACATTCTCAGCGACTGACTAGTAATATCTCAGTTTGGGAAGTTGGAAACAGAGAATTTCCGGAATGGGGATCGTTTTGGGTTTAGGGATGAAGGAATTTAGTGCATTTCATGACATCACTCTTATTATCATTTTTAAGAATGTTGATTGACATGTCATTGAGTTAAATGCATACAGCACAGAGAGAGACATCAAAGAGATAAGACTGACAGATTGCAAGCAAAAAAAAAAGAGAGAGAGTAAAGAAATGATAAACACATCATATAGATTTCAGATAATCCCCTAATCTACAGCTTTACTGCTTGTCTTCAATGGCTGACCAATCTGTTTCACAGACATTGAGAAACTCCTGATCTAATTGAGACGGAATTTTAAACGAAAGCTATTTCTTGGTATAATATAAACACAGTCCTGTTATAATCTGCCATAAAAGAGGCATTGTGAGATTATTACGATGCATTACAAAATCTGGGCCGCACCTATTATTGTGGTTTTATCAGACAATTCACCGACTTTATTACCAAGAACATCACAGGTTTACTTTAAGACACTTTGGCATTCACAAAGACAATAGACCCGCGCCATGCCTTACAGCAGCCAACCCGTAATTTAACAGTTACTGTACCTTAAACCACATTTTTTACAAGTGATATTAGAAAATACAAATATGTGTAAGTATAACTTAAAAGCAGTAGATTGTCCGAGAGGAATTCGAGATATAGCGCAGACTAAGTGAATGTGGGCATTTCGAAATTAAGTTTTTTTTTTTCACTAAACGCTAAATTGTCGTGAATTAAAAAACAGATTGCAAAATGTAATAAATAGAATACACCATAAACAGTTAGACAAAGCTAGTTTGTTTAGACCTATTGAGAAAGACAAACCCATTTTGCAACAAAATATGTTTAGCTTATGCGCTTAAAGGGACACTGTAGGCACACAACCACTTCAGCTCATTGTGGTCTGGCTGCAGCATCCTAGGTCCCTTAACTCTGTAATTGTAATTATTTCAGTCTTTGATAAACTGCAACAATTACCTGCCAAGGTTATTATTTCAGTCTTTGATAAACTGCAACAATTACCTGCCAAGGTTAATTCCACCTCTAGTGGCTGTTGAAAAATGTCAGGACACTTATTTTAGTCTTAAATTTGAAATTCACTTTGATTTCCCAACAATTCTACATTAAGTAAATAACCCTATACATTTACTCATTAAGGCGGTTTAGCACACATCCAAACTCTGGTGTCCCGACAATGGGAGCAGGCACATCCAAAAGTGGGACACCAGGGAAGTAGATTGGGACAGCACACAACAATCGTGACTATCAAAACGAGAAACAACCAGAGACACCTACCCACTCAACGGACACATTGGCACCCTACAAGACACGCAACACATATAGCCATAACCCATAACACATTGAACGAGGAAGAGTCAATGATCATATACACAGCCACAACACCATTAATCACACACAACACCACTCATACACCTCTACACCCTACCATACCTAAAATGAAGATGACAATCATACCCCAAGCAGAGCAAAAGGGCGGGCATGACCGACAAGTCAGAATAGGATTGCACATATCGGGGTTGATGCAGCTCCCACTATGTGTGGGATGGGCCTCAGGTCCAAAACATGGGTAAACGCATGAGAACAGCCTAGTGGAACGGTGACGGACTACATAACACCTAAGGGAGTGGAATGAGGTCTTGGAGAAATGTAAAAACGGAGCCCACAGGCTAAAACACTCAGAGAGATAATCTAGCCATATCCAAGTACCTCATGAGAACGCATGTCACACAAACGTAATGCTCATGATCTTGCTATGACGGAGACCTGCGTGTCCCATCTGACATGTCTTATTGTTCTATGTATCTATTGTCAAAACCTTCAATAAAAAAAAAAAAAAAAAAAACAATCGTGACTATCCTGCCAACATCGGGACAGTTGGGAGGCCTGGCCTAGTAAATAACAAAGAACAGTAAAGCAAATGCAACTGACAGTAAAATGTCTGTTTAAACTGTAATAAATGTTTCTCAGTTAATCTGTATCAATAAAATACTTGTTCTCACCCAACTACATAAATAGCTATCAATAGGTTATAAATTTGTCTAAACAATTCTTGGGAATGCCCTGCCTAATAGCTCAAACTATTTTTTCAAATAGAAAGTGCCCTTCATTTGCCTTTGGGAATTCTGGGAGATATTGAACGTTGAAACTGCTTTAATGTGTCCTGCTGATTTCATGCTACTGAGTCCTAGAACAACCTTCAGGTTTACACAGTTAACTGTGAAATGTTGAGAAATGGCCAGTTATTTCCATCTGATAAAGATTCAAAGTATAACCAAAAACATTTTTTTTTTCTTAAAGCATAAAGGCTTGTGAAGAACAGTCGCTAAATAAAGTAATATAGTTTAATAAACATGTGTTCAACTCAAATACTCTGAGGCAAAGTTCACAGCCTACTCTGATTGCTCTGAACTTAATATAAGGAATGGGTTGCAGGAGTAGGTGTTCAGCCAATTAGAAAGGCAGATGTATTTTAATGCCCCAGGTAGTGGTGCCATTATTGCATGGTTGCCAAGATAGATACATCTGCTGCTGTTTTCTATGATTAACAAAAAGTTCATGTCCATTCTCTTCGGGGCCTTCAGGGCAATTACTGAGCATGGCGGCATAACAGGATCTTCCTCTTTCATGTGCACCTGCGAATTCACACCGTCCCTTAAATTTTCTGTTTCAGTGCAGCCCTGACGCCATTTTCCATGCTCTCAGTGCTGCCAAGGTAGTCTCGTCCACCACGGTGGCCAGGAGATGGGTTGGAGATTCGGCTATAGATAGGTTGTGTAATGTTTACAATATCAAGATATTTTCTGTATAAAAGTGTGCAGTGTAGAGTCCACATCTCTTTCGAGTATAGAAATGCTGCTGGTGTACTGTTGCTCTCGGTGGCTGGTGTGCTCTTTCTCAGAACTCTGTCCCTTTTTCAGGTACAGGATAGCTGAGGGGGTGGGATACAGGGCGCTTGTTCACCTTCAAGAAACAGGTGTGCAGAGATGAGTAATGAGATTGGCCATCTCTCCCTCTGCAACAGTCTGCTAGGCCTCCAGGTATGTAACTCAAAAAAAAAAAAAATCTTAAAAAAATATATATATACTACAGGGATGCCCCCTGTCCCCGCTGCTCTATGTGTTGGCACTGGAGCCGTTAGCGATTAAAATTAGAGAAAACCCCGCAATACACGGCCTTGAGATAGGGAGAAGGGAATATAAAGCAAACCTATTCGCGGACGATATCCTGCTGACACTAACACAACCATACCTGTCGCTCCCAAACCTGCTGAGGGAAATAGAACTATATGGGGAACAATCGTACTACAAACTTAACGTAACAAAAACGCAAGCAATGGGGATTGGGATAACATGCGATACCGTAGAAAACTTAAAAAACTCATTCCCGCTAGACTGGAGGGATGACCACCTCACTTTCTTGGGACTGAAGATCCCAAAAGACCCTAAGAGACTCTTACATCTAAACTATGGGAGGTTACTAGACAAATTTAACGACACCTTGAAGAACTGGGATAGCAAGTTTATGTCCTGGGTGGGAAGACTGGCGGCAGTAAAGATGATGCTGCTGCCGAAATTCCAATACCTAACTAGAACGCTACAGATCCCAATACCCAACGCGTACTTGAAACGTCTACAAAGAACTCTCACTAGTTTCGTATGGGCATATAAGAAAGTCAGAGTAGCCACAAGCATACTCTCCAAACCCCTAGCGCAGGGAGGGCTACGCCTACCTGAGGGGAAAACATACTATAGGGCAGCACTGATGACCACCGCCCTGCAGGCACATACAGCCCACAACCCACCACAGTGGGTGGAGATGGAATCAACGTGGGCTTGCCCCAAGGGCCTTAGATACTTATTCTGGGTTCCGCATGAACATCGCCCTAAATCCCCAGACACACCCGTTACTACAGCAATCCTACTACAAAATTGGGATATGATCAAACCACAGTTAGGATACACAGACAAATGGGCGCTGGCCACACCAATATACTGCATACACATGGCAAATCCCACATTTGACCATCGTATATGGGCCGAGCGAGGTTGCACGTTGGTTAGACACCTCTATAATCAAGGGAAACTGAGACAATTCCCCGACTTGCAACAAAGTTACGATTTACCGCAAAGAGCGATATTTTCCTACCTACAACTAAAAGGAATACTGACAGACTCCACTGTCCTGACAACCCCGACCCATACGCAATCTATAGAGAAAGCATGTGAATCTATGACAATGCCCAAGAAACCGCTGTCACTCATGTATGCAATGCTCAATAACCCAACTCAACAGACACCACCGCAGCTAGACAAATTCAGAGAGGCGTGGCATAGGGATTTGAGTACAATCTTCTCAGAAGAACAATGGAACCAGGCCTTTATAGCCCATAAAGGTAGATCCAGATGCGCATCCCACCTAGAGCTAATGCGCAAGATCCAATATAGGTGGTACTTGGTGCCAACCAGACTGGCAACCATATATCCCAACACCTCGCGGCTATGCTGGAGATGTTTACAAGAGGCGGGCACAATGTTCCACATCTGGTGGACCTGCGCGACCATCAGGGGATACTGGAAGGAAGTTGAAGGGTTGATACAAGGGGCATTGGACACAGGAACCAATCTGAGACCAGAAACTGCCCTACTTTTCATATCTATTGACCCATTCCCAAAAGCACATGCCGGCCTAACATATCATATATTGATAGCTGCCAACCTATTAATAGCCAGAGGGTGGAAACAACCAAAGCCACCAGAGAGAGGCGCAGAGAGGCCACAACTACTACCACCAAGGTAGGAAGGCAGACATTGAGGTAAAACCAGCGGAGGTTAAACAAACTACAGGGCATATGCGGAACAACCACCCACATTGTAAATAGTTACCTAGGGGAAAAGATGCAAGAGCCACGCAAAGTTTGTTGACCAAGACGGAGACCCAGGGAGACATGGGGCTTTCACGGCCTGTTTCCCCCTTTCTTCTCCCGTTGTCCGATCCCCTGTTTCCCCCTTCCCCCACCCCGCATTAAACACACGGTTATGAGGGAAAGACAAACCTGACAAGGAGCACGACCAAGGTCACAAGGGTAGGGGAGGAACTCCCAGAAGGATGAATAACCAGCTTTGCTCCTGAATGTATAAGATATGTCTAAGAGCGATGTACCTCAACTGCTTAACCTCCCTTTTTTCCTTTCTGTACCCAAATATGTTCTCTGATAAAATAAAAATTGTCAAATTGAAAAAAAAAATATATATATAGCTGACAAGGTTGGATCTCACCCCTCTGTATGATGAATCAGTCCTGATCTAATGAGTGAGTTCATAGAAGATGTCTAATGAGTGAGTCCACAGACGATGAGTAGGTAAGTAACCACTGGAGACCATGTTGATGTACCTACTGATTCCTTCCAAATGAAGACAGGTTATGTTTTGAGTAACTCCCTACCATGATATCATTAGGGTTTCCAAAGTGCAAAGACTACAGAGCGTCTATAAATTAAGGATATTAAACCAAAAGTTTACAGAGCCCCATGTAACATGCGTCCATTCAAGAAGATATTCAACTCCCTCTCCTTCTTAATTGCTCATTTGAGGACACAACTATACATTGGCCTTACATTAGACATTAGCTGGTGAATTCATGAAAATTTAAATCTTAGTATACTACCCGGCATGTGTAAAATATGAATAAATACTTGATGTGAAGACATACTATGTAGCAACAGCTTTTAAAAGCATGTCATTGGGAGTTTCTGTTCACCTTCCACATACCTCTGCAAACTCATTACATAACTTTTCGTGAAATTCCTTTTAGCATGAACGTTGCACTGATTGCAATCCACACAAAGTCTCAACTCTGCACACAAACCAGTACAGTCAGGAATGACATGCACATTCAAAGCCACGCTTTACACTAACAATCACACATAATTGTGTTAATTGTCTCTCACTACATCATCTCTTTGAAAATCACAGCTGGCATAGGCACCAAGAAAATTGCAAACCTGGAACAGGTAAAAAAATAGCAACATGGGTAAAAATTAATGTATCCCTGTGCTGCAGCATTTAGGCCAGAGGTCAGTCACCCGAGGCATTCCAGCTGTGGTTGGTCACCAAATCATATTATCATACTTCCCAACAATAAAAAGAGGAGAACCGGGACTGGGTGAGCGGAGAAGGGGCTGTCTGTGCTAAGACTGGGGCACCAGGGAATTAAAGCAGGATAGGACCTGAAATTGTGACTGTTCTGCTGAAAGCAAGACTGTTGGGGGGCCTGTATTATTCTTGAACACCAATACCAGTGAGCTTTCTCCGAGATTACTATTATGTATCAATTTTCACCAGGATAACTTTGGGATTAACTGATACAAAATTTG